GACAAGGGCCCAAATGTATGCTGCAAGCTAAAGTTAGGATGTCTTATCCTTCCTTCTAGATAACCAAACTTCTTTAAATACTCAATCCCAAGTACAAAAAGACACTTCCATAGCCTTTTGTGAAATTGACAATGCAAGAGTTCAGCCACAGAACAAAGTAGTTAACAACATCACCTGCCAAAGTTTGGCTTCAACACCTTCAACAGAAGCAGCTCCTTTCCTTATCTCTTCAGCCAATTTCTCCACATGACCATACATAGAATAGTACCTGCAAATGTCAAAATGTGACTTAAAGTCAAAATTGAGACCAAACCCCACAAAGCCACTTGAAATCAAATCCTACTAACAAATAGCTAAATCAGAATCCATAAAACTTCAGTATCAAAGATCCAAAATTTGAATCAGAAATACTAATGAAACAACATATAAAGCAAATTGCTTTATCACAAAAGTAGAGTTTCAAGCAGCCAAAACCATAAATCAAATCATCACAAAGTAACAATAGACAATTTCTTCGATCAAATTTGATTATAAGATCAAAACAAGTCACTGAACTGAATCAGAACGAGAGCTTATGATTCAATAGTTTAACCCATAGATTAGCTCCAAAAAAATCGCAACTTTAAAACCCACAAAAAGTAAAAGAGAGAAAAATTGAAACTTTAACATACACGATATACACTTTAGTCGCCATCGAAGTAGTAGTAGTAGTACGTTAGTTCCTCTCGAGAATCTATGAAGCTACTAAAATAGTTTAAGAGAGATTGTTCAACGATCCGAAAATGTAGAAAGCGTATTTATAGAGGTGGAGAAGAAGATGATCTGGGTTCTTCTTCTTTATCCTTTTTTCCAAACTCTTCTTTATTTATTTTTCTTTCCAGAAACTCTTAATTCTATCAAATTCAATCCCCTAAATATTTGGTCAAATTAAATATCACCCCATAGTTTCTCTTTTAATATTAATCCCAATTACTGATCATTGTACTTTGACCAAAAAATATAAAATTAGAATGACTTAATATATATTTGGAAATTATATAAATAGTCAAAATATTAAAATTAGAATGACTTAATAAATGACATAAATCGAAATTAAAAGTTAAAACACATTATCGCAAAATATTAATCACGCTTTTGCGAAATCATAGATTTGGTAAAAAAAAATCAAAAAAAAAAAAGAGCTATGCCAAATTACACAATTGTCATGTAATGTCCTGTATAAGCTAACAATCAAAACAAAACAAAACTAGTGGAACGAAATTGAAATCTTCGGATAATATAGGGGTCGTTGTCAAATTAAAACGCAGTCGTTGGCACTTGTGACGGGAAAATAAAAAGGTGGGGTTGGTGCGGGAATTGAAATATTTGGTTTTAAAAATGATTTTCTTCATATTTAAAAAAAAAAAGATTAAAGAAAAAATAACATAATAATGATGATATGTTGCTGTCACGCTCATCATCATCATGTTCGTTTTCCCTCAATATTGTTTTTAATTTCTTTACATAACAAATAAAAAAGAGAGCTTTCAGGCTTACTTGTTTTCTCTAGAAGAAGATTTGTCTTTTCAAAACCTGAATTATGGTGTTTATCTATTCAAAGTTTTACATGATTGTATAACTAATCAGTCTCTTAACCCAATTGGACACACGATTATTTGTGACTAACATGTTTTTCTTAGTTAACTAACAGAAAAATACCATACAAACAGATTATAAAATGAAAAATTATATATTTCAATTTAATTAAAGTTTTTTTTTGGATAAATCTCGTATAATTACAAATTTACCGAGTTCAAGAAGATTTTTAATTACATTAAAGATTGAAAAATAATCCTATAGAGACTCTTGTAAATTACAAAATTATCAGAGTTCAAATTTTACTCTCTTTTTTTTTTTTTTGATCATACCAATCATTCATCTCATATTTGTTATACCTAATGCATATATAGCCAACACAAATAAATCCCAACTAATTTTGAATCATAATTTAGAAGAATATATCGATAAGATATTATGGAGAGGGATTGAAATTGAGAAAGTGGATTAAACCAAGTCAACGAATATGGTCGGAGCCCCATGAAGACAACCGAGTAGGTGCTAAATTGACCGGAGGGTAGGGTCAAAAACTCGTAGCTATTGGATCACGTTCTCGACGGCTCTTCATCCAAATATTCATATTCCGATTACAAGCTCTTGCATCATCCCTCTCGTCATTGTTCTTTTTTTTTGTACTTTTAATTTTCTAACATCCAAGCATAATAGTATAAAACTACGACTACGTTACAAATCTTCCAATAATAAGTTAATACTAACACATACTATAAAATTACAACTATACGTTGTTTGACGATAGATATATACTATAGTAATAGTTGTGATATAATTTAATAAATTTGGATGTGATTTTGACGGCTCATCCTATAAAAATTAGTTTCGAATGCATTATTATTTTGTCTTCGTTTGCATAATCATGGTGTCAGCAGCACTCGAGTATATCTCATTTCTAACTACTAGGAGCATAGATATGACTTACGAGAAACATCATGTTATTTCATATTGTTATTTAAGGTAATAATGCATTTGTTAGTTTTTTTTACTGGTGTTTAAGTTGCGATGTGCCAAGTTTTAATTTGTTGGTGGTTAAGCTTATCAGCTTATGTGAAATATAAGTGTAAATTACATTAAATTTTGATATTAAGATATAATCAAGCCTTGTAATGTAACAAAGGCACTACAAATTGATTACTTTATTCGATAGTTTTTTTTTTTTTGGTCAAATTTTATTCGATAGTTTAAAATCATTTATTCTCTATGTGTTCACATCACTTGTTCTCGGGAACACATATACAGCTCTTGGAAGGCTTGGACTATCTACATACGTATATCGTAACATATACATAGTCTTCGAATTAGAAGAAATTACAAGTTTTACTTGTGAAAATGTAAGAAATGAACCAACAAATAATATGGTCTTGAAGCAAAATTAAAAGAAAAAGAAAATGATAAAATGCCAAAGTTAGCTTGCGTTTCAAGGATGCTTTGCTTTTACAACCCATTTCTTTGATAATGATCAGTTCACCCCTTATTCTGCTGATATATCGTGTGAACAAAGTAATAGGCTTTCTCTATTGCTTTATTGACCAAATTAAGTGTCGCTTAAGATACGTACATGCATGATTTGGTCTTCTCTCTTTCTTTCGCAGGATCTCAATGAACTGCATGGCTACACGCATTTAGCCTACATGATGATACCCTCGCAATATAATGTGCAACCAATATTTTTGCTTTATAAATTAACTAATGTAAAGTAGAAATATGATCAGGTGGGTTGAAAGTTGAAACTACACTCAAGAGTTCTAATTATTAAAATGTGGACTTTGATGAGTGATGTGCTAAGAAAGACCTTTGTTATTAATGTTTTTTTATAGCTTACCCTCCGATCCATTTCTTTATTTGTGCAAGGCAAACTTTATTTTAGTTGGCCATTTAAGTTTTCAGATTTAAACTTCATTCTCTGATAAAAGAAAATTCTCTTTTTTCGCCCAACGTTTGCATAATTTCTGAATAACATACCAAGACTGCATGGTCTACATCCATTCAAAGCCCAAAATCTTATTCATTTATAACTTGAAGATTCGAACATGTTCCAACTATATAGAAGGAAAAGAGCAAACACATTTGCAAAAATCGAAGAAGCTAAATAGCAGTAGCTAGGCCATAGCACATACTGAATATCTTATAAAACAAACAAAAAAGTCTTAGACAAACATAAACAAACATACCTCATTATCAAAAAAAAAAACAAACATAATGGTTCCGATACCATGGCACACCTCGTTGTCACTATTAGCTGTAGTATATATAATCCAAAATTGTTTTTGTAAAAGTAATTAGTTACATTTTTCATGTTTTTTAGATATTTCTTCGCAACTAAACTCACACCACAACTCACCGTATATATTCATTTAATGATTGGTATTGAGATGAGCAACATTGTCAAAACTAATTAGACAAAACATGTAATTGTATGAAATCTTATGTAACTGAGAAGGCTAAAATGTTTGTTGTAGTGGAAGGAAATGTTCGATCTGAAGAGCTTTTATATATTTGGATTGAGAATACCACATGTTAACTCGATCACATGACGAAAATTTAGATCTTGGTTTTGTTGGGCTTGTCACTAACTGTTAGGAGAGAGCCTGTTCAAGTGTAGTTCCAACTTGAAAATGAATTCTATTTTTTTAATGTGTTCTTCATTAATATATAAAAAATGGATGATAAATCATAAAAGAGAAAGAAAAAAATGTATAATTGTTGCAACAAACTGTATAATTAACCTCTTAGAACTATAATTCTGTAATATTTTTTTTCATAATAACGCGTATAAGTTCAATATGCATGCTAGGATGTCCAACAAAATACTTTATATGATTAATCTTGAAGATTTAAATTTCTTCATCACAGACTCTTCCTAAAACGTATGAATTATGCAGTCTACAAAATTAGAATGTCAACAAAGAAATATGCCTTTAAATATAGATATTCATGTTGATACTAAAAACATCTATTGCTAACAAAATATAAACAAAAGATATTGAAATTTAACATAAAAGCAAAAAAATCCATTTATATTGTTTCTAGAGGAACTAAACCAAAAACAGAAGTTCTTTTTTTTTTGTTGGCGAGCAACTTATTGCTTTCTATAATAAACTTTCGAAAATGCTAACCAAATAGGTTGTAAGATTTAGATGAAACCAAACTAAATAACCTAATTTAAGTTTAGCTTGGTTCAATTTTTTGGGTTAAAGTCTTAGCCGGAATTACTTAGTGGTTTTTCTTATCATTTTTTTTTGTGAAAACAAAAGTCGCCAAAATTTTGTGTCATTTATATTATTTTCACTCTGAAGATTTATTTATTTATCATTTCTGTATTTTTTTCGATCAATGATTATTTATCTATCCATCCATGTTTAAAAGACAAATCATAAACTAAGAAAGAATTGAAATCAGTTAAGATTATCCTTTGCTATTTTGTTTCTTCCATATCAGTTTCTATGAACCGCAACAATAATGGAAAATGGAAAATCAAAAAGAGAATAAAAATAACATAATTCATTATTAAATTGTCTTTCTTTCTTTTTAAAAAAAATCAGTAAAACACTCTGTCAGAGAAAGAAGGTTCTCTCTATCAATGCCGGTGACTATAATCGGAAAACTCTTGCTCAATCACCTCCGTCACAACACACCGTGACGCTTCCATCAACTCAGGACTAAGTCTAAACATAAGCACACAAAACTCCATCTGATTCAAAGCACCGTCTCTATCGAAATCTCCTTCGTCGATCATACATCGAACATCTTCGTCCGTTAGATCTCCTAGTCCAAGAACCGTGGATGCGTTTCTTCGTAAGCTCTCGAACGTGATGACTCCTTTGTCTTTATCCACAAGAAGCTCGAACCCTTTGCAAAGCTCTTCTATTAGACCTTCTCCACCGAGTTTACCAGCCATTGTTGGGAAGAAATCTTGGAACTTGGTTGGTTCTTGATCTTCTTGATTTGGTCTTGTTGAGGATTTGGGTGACGCCATTAGAGAGGAAGATAGAATTATAATTTTTAGAGAATCTGATTGTTTTGAGAGAGATGGGTTTTGTGTTTGTGAGTAAGTTTTATTTATATATAAAGGAAGAGAATTTGGTATTTCCTAGAAGGAACATACATGGAACTTGAAGCCAACTAAGATAAGAAAAGAAAAAAAAAGATCTTTAAAATCTTGGTTTCTTCTTGGAAGCTCACGTAAGGCTATACATGTCTTTTTTTAATATGGATGTGATTGTTCCCACGGGAGGTTGATAGTGTGAATTGTGAAAAGCTTAGAGAAGAAGAAAAATAAAAGTCGTCTGTTTCTTTATATGGAAATAAATAAGTTAGATTTTGAATGTGAAGTTTCTGAGACTTTCTTAGGCAAGTAACTTTAGTTTCCAGTTGATTAAGGAACGTTGTTTTCTGTATAATTGAAACTACACAAATTGAGAAAAAAATTCATTAGGTATATGTCAATAGCAACACTTTTTTACCATTAGAGCATAATGTTAACAAATTTGGTGAGCTACGGTTACAATGCTCACTCAAACTATCGATCACATGGTTAGGACTAGACTCTCAACTAGAAAAGAAATGGACTAATACAAACTTCATTCACTACTGGCTGTGTTAATGGTTTGACTCAAGGACAAGTCTAATCTTTGTCTTTGGTATATTTTTCAACTTTTTGAAATCTTTTTCAGCAAATGAATGCAAAGGTGTTTTGGTTGAATAAGTTATTTTTCTTCTTCGATGTAGTTAGGTGAGGAAAGGTCTCAAAAATAAAACGTTCACGATGTTTGATCGATCATAGTGACTTTTGGGTGCGATAATAAAATTATTAAATCGAGAGGTTTGGTCGCTTATGGGAAGACATTAACCTCTTTTAACATCTTGATTGAAACTTCCTTGTGGTAGACAGAATATTCCACTTGGTCTGCCGGTTCTATTGCATTTGCATGCCTTTGTTTTTTTTTTTTATTATTATTGTGATTACTCTCCTATATATTCCAACCAAATCTCTTCCTCATTGGATGGTTTAATCACTATCGTTATCCATAATCTTAATAATGAAATGGTTTATTACAAAGAACCATTGAATCTTGATTTATTGACTCGGTCAATTCATCAATTCTATTTTTTTATATTAACATCATAGATCAAGATTCATATCAAATAATAAACTTCTTGATCAGATCTTTCGGGATCGGTCGAACATTTATACAATGTATCAAACACTTCACTTGAGTAAATAAAATAACATGACTTGTAATGAAGCATAAACATTCAAAGTCGATATATTATATACGAAATCTGATGAAATTATCAACATATGAAAGTCTTTTATTTTGTTAACTTTACATCTTTATTTTCCTATGATTGACGCAATAATAAAAATTCCTCCAAAGCCTCAAAGATGGGAACCAAACACTCTTGCAAACTCATTGATACGGAGTCGTTTAACTCTCTTATCATTCTCTCATGCTTCTCTGTTTCTTGCGTCACACTCTCTCTCAGAGACAACAACTCCGGTCCAAGCTTTATGTTCGTCGCCGGACCAGAGTCATTTGCCGGAAAAACAACCGCTCTTCCCAAAATCTCCTCCAGTTCTTTCGTCTGCCTTTCCAACTCCTTAGACAATCTTTCTGTTCTCGTCCTCTGTTTTTTCTTCCTCTACTTGCTTAAACCCCAACCCTTGAAACCTCAATCTCATTTCTTCAACAGCACTCAACACTTTAACCTCATCAACATTCTCATTTCTCAATCTCTCTCAACCACTCGCTGCAAATCCTAAATATCTCAAGAGCCTCGGCCTCGGTTTAACAATCGATCTTTCGTGGATTGATTGAGTTGTTGTAATACCTTTAAACGATATCACTAAAAAGGTTAAAACCCTAGTTTGGCAGAAGTACGAGTCGATGAACCCTAATTGAAAAGCAAATTCGATTTATTTTGTAGTAGAGCGAGGCTGAAAAATTCACTTTAGTATATTATATGTAAATAGTGTTTTTATAAATAATTTTCAGAAAAGGAAATTTGTAGCTAAATGGAAAAAAAAAAGAAGAAGAAAAAAGAAAAGTCACCATAAATAAGGAAGATAGAATAATTTAGGTTACATATAGTAATTAAGGTTTGAGTTTTTGAGAGCACGTTATATAATTGAGATTAAAAGCTAATGATGGAATCTGTAATTAAATTTCGTAGATCAACGTGTTTGCCACCAAAGTTTTATACATTTTATCTCCTTGGCACTACAAACTTGATGTTGTATACTTTTATCTTGTAGTGTATATTGTATATTACTATCTAGCCTAACCTATGCGTCTATCTTTACATATCTTTAAGGTTGATATATAGAGTGACGTTTGATGTTAAGTTCTTCCATAACAAGTTAATAAGTAATAACTATCAAACGAAACAGAGCAATTTATTGGATGGTGTTAAATGTTTGTTTTGTGATTCTTGACCGGTTGGGATATATACATTTAGTCCATGAATGGTTTCTGCGATAGTTTTAGCTTTACTTCTCCAAAATTCTATTTTGCAGTCATTCAAGATAAAAAAAAAATTTCTTCTTCCTTTTTTATTTAATTTTATTTATTTTTCCAAAGAAAAATATAATCCATATCAACAAGTTTTCCTAAAAGATAGGAAATCTCCTAGTTTTCGAGTGTTTTAACAACTTTTCAGAAAATAGCAAAAAAAAAAAAATTTTAACAAAAAATTTACACACAAAAAAAACAATTAAAACCCAAAAGTGAAAAACAATTTTAAGAAATAAGAACTATAAATATTGGTGGCCTTAGTTTGATATATTCACCTTGACCAACTAAATTGGAACAACTCACTTGGCGAATCACAAATCCAAAACATCTGTGATTTTGTATTTTCATTTTGGAATCTATGTTTGAAAGAAAACCAATCGTATAGAAAGAAAAAAATATATAATTAATAGAAAATATATGACTAATTACTTAGAGAACTTCGGTTAAGAAACCTAAAAACATATCATCATTTTTTGGTCATCAACTTATCATAATTGGTTGATCACTCATATATATTTTAGCTTTACCTTGACGAGAAAAGACATGTACGTATGTAGATCAGTAAATCTTAAAAAGAAAACTTGAAAAAGAAACAAGGAAAATAAGGAGTAAATTCGTGAGATATATGTAATATGTGTATGGAAATGGAAGTCGAGGCTTCTTCTGAGTTGTTCAAAATTTGTCATCCACACACATTTAAAAGTTATAAAAAAAGAAGCAAAACCCTATACACTGTAATTGCCTCCACTCATCATCTCCTTTAATTTATAAGGCATGTGGCTATCAAATGAAGACATCTCGTGTTCGTTTGATTCTTCACAATTCACACTTCACCCTTTACACCACTAATCTTCGCCACGTAAATATTATTGCTCAAGCATGTTACGTTGGTCCGACTTTACGTTTACCTTTTTTTTATTGTTTCTTCTTATACATATATACAGGATATACTTTACGTATTATTTGGTCTTCATAATGACTAGTTAAACATCTATCTTTCTATAATCTTGGCCATGATTTCGTGATAATTAAGACGTTTATTTCGAACATATATAGTGTGTGGTACACCGGTCCACAAACTCAAATCCGACTCCGAAAGTGCTAAAATATTTTTGATTTCTTATAAAATAATACAAAGTTTAATCACTAATGGGAAATTAACGCCTGCCTTTATTTTGTTTTTATTGGTGGGGGGTTTCAATATTTTCTCAATTATACATCTTTCTTTTTAGCAAATTAATTTTGTTTTAGAGAGAAAAAAAAGACAATTAATACGGGTAAATGGAAAAACTAAGGAACGATAAGATTGGTTGATTATCAGAACCATATGAATTTAATATCGCCAGCAAACACGTTAATAATTCATGGACGACGACGACGACGACACCAAAATATCCAAAGTCGCTTATTAAAATAATCTATAAATATTTTCAAAAATAGCTTGATCTAAAAAAAAAAACCTTATTCACACAAAAATGCTTGGACCAAGACGAGTGAGGAATATATTGTTTAAAAAAAAAAAAAAAGAGGTCCAGATTAGAGACGTGTATTGTGATTTGTGAGGTGAAGACAAATCCCAGGTGGCTGGGTGGGGATCACGTGGTCTCTAAACTCTCTTTCTCTCTCTCTACTACAGAACCCGATTCGTCCACGTCGGATAACTCAGAATCTTCCTCTTCCTCTTTACGAGGCTGATATCTCTCCACGTCATCACCTAAAAATCTTCCCTTCCCCCATAAATATCTCTCTTCTTCTTTTTTTTTTCTTTCTGTTAAAACACCAAACGAATCATATGTCGAAACGTAAGAGGAGAGCTTTTTGTCCCACACAATTACGTGGTTTCGTTTCAGGACCAAGTAAAATAAAAACAATATACAAAAATTATTATTTTCTCCTAAATTTAAGAATCGGAGAATAATACTCAGCCGCAGAAACCTCTTAAAAAATTAATTAAACAGAAAAATAATACAATTAATTAATTCTACCAACCATAAAAAAAATTTAAAAAAGTTTGAACAAATCCTTAATCTTTACATTTTTATTAAAAACGCGAAAAATCGTTTTTTAGTGAGTGAAAAGACTAAATTGCCCTTAAAAAGAATTAAATCACACAAAACTCGCCACGAAATTCTCGATTATTTTGTTTTGCTTTCTCCCTTATTAGTTTGTGTCCGCAGAAGAGAAACGAGAGAAGACAGATAGAGAAAGAGAGAGAGAAGCAAAGACCTTTTTATAAAGAAATCCCAAAGAACACTAGTTTTTGTATCTGTAGAGAGGTGTGGTGTAATGGGGAAGAAGAAGTGTGAGTTATGTAATGGTGTAGCGAGAATGTATTGTGAATCAGATGACGCGAGTTTGTGTTGGGATTGCGACGGTAAGGTTCACGGAGCTAATTTCTTGGTGGCTAAACACACGCGCTGCCTTCTCTGTAGCGCGTGTCAGTCTCTCACGCCTTGGAAAGCCTCTGGTCTTCGTCTCCGCCCCACTGTTTCTATCTGCGAGTCTTGTTGTTTGTCTCGCAAGAAGAAGAAGCGCTCCGTCGTCGCAGGGAACCAAGAAGAGATCGTTGGTTGTTGCGACGATGGTGGTGGTGCTGAGTCTTATGATGAAGAAAGCGATGAGGAGGAAGAAGAAGAAGAAGAAGAAGAAGAAGAAGCGGAGAATCAGGTTGTGCCGGCGACGGTAGCGCAAGAAGCTCCGGTGGTGAGTTCGTCGTCTTCGGTTAGTACCGGCGAAGTAGATCTGGTGGTGAAAAGGACGCGACGTGATCTAGATCTGAACTGTTCTTACGAGGTATGAATCTTTTTAGTATCAAACGATCTTGTGTTATTTTTTGTTGTTGTGAAGTTGGTGAAACTTAAACTGTTCATTTATGTGTTTGAAAAATGCAGGAGGAGAACGAGTCAAGACCATTGAAAAGATTATCGAAAGACGATGATGATGAAGATGAAGCTTCGTCTAAATCAACAACGGTTGTGATGATGATGAACTCGGTTTTGAGATTAGAGGGAGGGAAAAGGAACAAATCGAACTGTTGAATGAGATGATTAGTTTTTTTATTATTATTAACCCCTCACCACCGTTCATGTTACTAACAATTACTTGTTTTAGTGAGTTGAGTTAGTAGTTTTTTAAAAAATCATTCGTTTTGAAGCTTGTTTTTTTTGGCTGTTATTTTTATTTGTTTTACGTTATAATATATATTCGTATGTGAAGTTTTAGAATTACAAGAATGAAAAATTGTGATTTGCGGGATCATTATGGGAAACGAGTCAGGTAAATGACTAATGAGAATGAAGCATTCAGTATAAAGAGGACTACTACCAACCACAAACAAAATTCAATAATTATGTTTACACAAACGTATCAAGGGGTCGTTAGTTTTGTAATAAGTAACTGCGACCACAAAAATAGAAGGAGAAGATATTTTATTTCATCAAGTCCTCTCGCTGTCTCTCAAATAAAACAGTGTTTATTAATAGTGTCTTTGTCTATAAAAATTGTGTTTGAGGCTCGAATATAAAAAAGCATCACGATGCTTTCATATGATCCAAGTGTTGTCCGATGTATTCTACTATAAAAGAAACATTCAATTCATGGTCGATCAGTTAAGAGAAGTGGACGGTTGCGAGCGTCGGTCTAAACTAAATTAGTTTAATCATTTTAATTAATTAATGTTAGATCATGTGGTTCTCATTGCATATGCATCTAGCTCATCCAATTCAAAGAATGAAGCCGGCTTCAAATAGTGTTGCTAGTTGTATATTTCGCAAGACTTTTTCGACTTGGATAATTACTTTATGGTTATGGATATATATGATGACATCTACTCTATAATCTTATCCTATTGAATGAAATCGATCTTTAAGTCAAAAAACTTCAATCTTAGATATTTATCTTAATTCCAACAAGTCAAAACCAAAACCAAAGTCAACTAAATCTTTGTTTACTTTTTCTTTCTTAATAACATTATCTAAAATCTAAACAGACTAAACCGTTCACCCTTCCTCACACAATAGAGAACATAACTAAACTACCATAAGTCACTATTAAAGAAAAAATCGTAACTTTTCCTCTTCTTAAAAGTGGTTCACACAATAATCATACATTCTTCTTCATGTTTAATGCATAAACCATCATTACCGACGCAAAGAGAAATTCATTAGTAGTTGTTATGTTACATGACCATCAACAAAAAGTAAAGATGCTTCTTGAGTTATGTTAAATGATGCTTCTCAGTCTTTTTTTTTTAAGGCTAAAAGAAAAGATAATTTCATTTACCTATGTTATACCTTGCTAATAATGTCTATGTGCCTTAAGGAACCCATCGTATTGGAACTGGTTCAGGGCAAAAGACTGAGAACTCATTTGGCATTTTGAGGTTAAGAGATACACGGGAACATATTGGTGCTAAGCTGATTGGCACCCCAAACCCCGATATTAGTGTCATCTACCAAACAATTTTGTTTTCTTTGGTTGTTCCAATTTTGCTTAATTTCCTTTTGGAGAAATGCATCTTTCAATATTTCAATCCTTAAATTCCAAGAAGTTAAACCAAACCATATATCAACCAAATCTTTATTTGATGTTAACTAAAAATCTAAACAGACCCAACATTCAACCTCACACAATAGAGACAAAGAGAAATTCATCGACATCGTGACTAAAAGATAGACCACACACTCAAACACTCCACCGAACATTCCGCAAACACCCCTACTTGATTCGTGTACCTTTTCAATTCCAAACACATGAAAGAAGAATAATCAAGATAAATGTTGACAGTATAAGCTTGCAGAGATCGTTGATGTGAGTTTTATATTACCTAGACGATGCAAAGAGGGTGAAAACCTGACGAGATCCCAAGAAGCATCACTCATCTGTGGTAGAAAAACACAGGAACAAAAAAGGAATAAGACATTGTCGTTTGGTCAGATCATAGATATATTTACTGGAATAACCCTTTATTCATTCATAAAACACATTTCCATGTCCTAAGATACACAAGGCAGATTATATGTTACTAGTCGTGATACAGTATGGTGAAGATAACAAATGTAACCTTCAGACTATAGCCTTTTTTTTCTTATCAGTCTACATTCAGATTCTTTGTACAAATTCACTAGGGTAGCTCCACTCTTGTAACATATACCAAATGTTCTAGAACTAACACCAGTGATTGTCTTACTAGAGAAGCAATCTACTGAACTCAGCAAGTTTTCATCAGAAATTGTATATCAGAAATGTAAGAAGGTAAAATACATCACAATTAGATTTGATATCTAATCAGATAAACTTTTTTTTTTTGTATATTTACGCAACCAGATTCTTTCTACGAGTCCCTGCTTTTCTAGTTTTTTTTTCTCTGTAAACATCCCCGTTATAATAATATTTCCTGGTCTGATCAGAGCAAAACAACAACAAAAACTTCTACCCACATTAAAGGTTCCTTTCAGAAATATGAGCAGCATTCAAGATTTACATATATCATATCTCAGCATTAGCAGAACAACATCACTATTTGATTTTCAGCAAGTATATAATTCAGAAATATGAGAAGCCTTTAAGATTAGAAATAGCAGCTTAGAAGACATGATTATTACTTTACATGATAGTTTCTACAACTCAGCTATAAAAGGATCAAACTTTCCTGTTTTACCACATATGGCAATCTCACAGACTCTCACAACATATTCAGGTGATCACAAAATTCACAAAACACTCACTACTGAATCTAAATCTAACATATCAACGGAAACTTCCATGAAAACAAACTACGAAAGCATCTAATTAATCACTGAAACACAATACAGAGAGAGATTTATTGATCCCTGACCTTTGATGTGTTCATGATGAGCAGAAGCAGCAACAACATCTTCATCATCATCTCCACCAGACTTGACAGTAACAACAGGCACAGGTCCATCACGATCATCAGGATATCTCACCACAACAACGGGGCAAACACAGTGGTGAACACAGTAATCACTAACGGATCCAAGCTTCCCATCACTTCCTCTTTTCTCAGCACCAAAACCTCTACTTCCCATAATGACAGCACTAAGACCAAGCCTCTCAATCTCAAGACATAGTCTCTCCCTCATATCATGATCTTTCACTATATGGATCTTATGCGGAAACCCTAATTCCTTCAACGGCTTCGCTAGATCCGCAACTTTGGATGAAGTAAAAGCATCAAAATCCTCTTGGCTAGGCTGCGATCCCTGAGAGTTTGGATCTTCAACAGAAGGTTGAGTTTTGAGAGGGAGAGGACCCCAATCAGCACCGAAGAGGACGGAGGTTGGAGAAACGTGGAGAAGAACAACGGCGTCTCCGGGACGGATGTAGTGATCCACAGCCCAACGAACGGCCAAAGAACTTTCTTCAGAGAGATCAACGGCGACTCCGATTTTTCGACGAGCTCCGGCGGTTGGAGTTGGAGTTGCGGCGGAGGAGGGAGTGGAAGAGGAGTGGTGATGGTGAGAGTGACGTGGTGAAGGAGGGTGATGGATCTTGATGTTGGGAAGCTGAGGATGATCGGAATCTGGATTCATGATTATTTTCTACTAGATGCTGTTTTTGTTCTTCGCCGGGAAATGAAGAAACAATTGAGAGAGTCAGGAGAGGTTTCTCTTTAACGGAGAAGAAGCGTGTTTTCTCGAATTCACTTTTTTTTTTTTTTATTACTTAAAATAAAAATAAATAAATAGATAATTAGACTGCACTGCACGCCGTTATTTATACCCAAAAACCACAACCAATCCAAAACAAATGAAGTTTAATAGCCGGAGTGATCTAACGGTCAAGATTAAATCTGAGCGCCACAGTTGAACCAACCAAACGATTCGCTAAATCTCCGGCGTCGGTAATTTCCCCCACTTCCTTCTTCTTCCTGCAGCTTGAAGACGGAAACCTCACTCAAATTCTGATCTCGCCGTATTTATCGATCGAGGTCTCGTATGTTCCGTCTTAGATCAGTGACTGAGATTTAAATAGTTCACATTTAATACATCGGAGCAGCTAAGATCCAAATCCCGTCGCATCCTTTTCACCACCAGATCTCCGTCGCCGGCACTAACCGAAGACGAAGAACTCACCACCGGAAGTCTTGTCCCGCCGGCATAACCTGATTCTCTGCTTTCTGTTCTTCATATTTTTCCTCCTCCTCCTCATCATCATAAGACTCGGCACCATCGTCTGCAGCTTGAAGTCTCGTATGTTCCGTCTAGATCGGTGACTCAGATGGCTAACTACTTGGCTCAGTTCCAAACGATTAAGAATTCCTGCGATCGTCTCGTTGCCGCCGGTGATATTCTATACGTTTACTTCATTCGATTAGGATCTTACTTCTCTCTTTTCGTTCTTTCATTTATTTTACCACATTTTGCGATGTCTTAGTTAGATATTAGTGGAAAATTTCTCAATGTAGTTAACGGATCAAATCAGGTGATATGAATCTGTTGATTGGTCATGAATGAAGCTAAAAGTGCTTAGAAATGAGCATCCCTTCCTGAATTTCTCTGTAATCGGAAAAAGTGCTTAGAGGATTTCTTTTGTTTCGGACGTTTAGCTCTACTTTTTCGTTAGTATTAAGATGGCTTCTCTTTCTTTGCTCCCTTCGCCAGTGATCTTACTCGTTCTAATAGTATCTGCTTGCATTTTCTTTTACAGTGGAAGATGTGTCTGATCTGTGGCCTACAGTCAAAGGTTTATTTGAAGAACATCAGCCATTGAAAAGAGCATTCTTGACAAACAAGACTCGAAATCCGGTTTTTGTTGAGAACTTGCCGGTTGAATTCATATTAACTACAGACGCGAGACTTCGTAGTCGATTCCCACAGGAGCAATATTTGTTCTGGTTTCGAGAACCATATGCAACTATAGTTCTTGTGACTTGTGAGGTACTTTTCTTGTTGATATCTCGTTTCTCTGTGTCATTCTTGAAAGTGGAGAGTAGTCACTTTTCAAAAAATGGCAAAGATGATGTGCTTGATGATATGCATTCTTATTTTCCTTTGCTATAAGATCAAGAACCTATGTCTAGATAGTAGGTACCGTTTGTATTGCTTCAACAATTTTTGTTCTTCTAGCTTTTCTGAGTATACCTTTGACCTTGCAGGATCTTGATGAGTTTAAAAACATTCTCAAACCACGTCTGAAATTAATTGTTCAGAATGATGAGAGGGAATGGTTTATTGTATTTGTATCTAAAGCTCATCCAAGTAATGATCAAGCAACTAAATCTGTCAAGAAAGTATATGCAAAGCTTGAAGTTGAGTTCAGTTCAAAAAAGAGAGAAAGGTAAGCAATGCAAATTGGACTGAGTTTTATGTTTTTTGCTTCGATACAAGTAGGCAAGAACAAAAAAAAACAGCTTGCCAGATTCCTGATGACACTTGATTGCTCCTACTATTGTTCTAATAATAATAGATTAGGTTAAATAGTTGCACGACTGCAATTATTCTATTTTTGCTAGATGCATACACTAAAGTTACTAAACCCATATAGCAGTAATCACTCATTTAAAGGAAGTTATCTGTAAGTTATTTACTTTACGAAAATTCATATGGGATAAAAGCTATAACACCTTTTTGTTTACATTGTCTGTTCTAGTTAATTTATGCATGCTATACATAGTCTTCGTATGATAATTTTGAAATGCCTTTAAGGTGCTGTAAGCTGGATGTACATGGCCCTGACGGAACTTTTTGGGAGGATCTGGAATTAAAGATTACCGAGTGCATCAGGAATACCTTGGATAGGCGCGCACAATTCTACGAAGATGAGATACGCAAGCTCAGTGAGCAGCGGTTTATGCCAATATGGAACTTTTGTAACTTTTTCATCTTGAAGGTTAGCTCTCATTTCAAAAAAGAAATATAATTAAAAGGAAAGTGAAATGTGGTTTCTATGTAGATGAGTAATATGGTTTAAAATTCTGTTTTTTATTTTTTTTTGTAATTAGATTTATACTGTTTTAATTAAGTCCCTGATGGAAATTTATGTGCCCCTTTTTTTGCTTCCATAGAAGTAAGAAGAATTCCAATCTGTTAAACTTAGAAATCACCTTTGGTCCTTACAGTCACATTTGATGAAACTTCTCTCATTTTCTTAAAGGTCATAATGTTCTATGCTATCTCAGGAAAGTTTGGCTTTCATATTTGAGATGGCTCATCTTCATGAAGATGCATTACGTGAATATGATGAACTAGAGCTCTGCTATTTGGAAACAGGTTTGTTCCCTACTTCTGTACCTTTCTCTTCCAGACCCGTGGCAATAAAAAAATCCATATTTTTGTCTATTTGGTATATTTATTACTATTTTGCATTTGTTAATTTAGTAACAGGAATATAGATTATATGTAGTTTTATATTCTTAGGTTTTGACAAACCTGACATCTATCTTTATCTTTTTAAGCATTTGGGATCAGTAGTCATCCAACAAACTGATTTCCTCTTCCAAGATTTTTCCTTAACAAATAATCCATCATGCATTACCTTCAATGCAGTTAATATGCCTGGGAAACAGAGGGATTTTGGAGGATTCGACAGTGAAGATGACCAAGCTGCACTGCTGAAACCAGGAAGCAAACCATTGACACAGATTGTGCAAGATGATTCTTTTAGAGAATTCGAGTTTAGACAGTATCTCTTTGCCTGTCAGTCTAGGGTTGGTGCACACAAGAGCCATCATATTGATCAGAGTGTCCTTTTTTCTGCTTTCACAATTGTAGATTTACTTTAACAACTTTTTCATTAGCTTACCCCTTTGTGGTTCTTTGCAGCTGTTGTTCAAATTGAATCGTCCCTTTGAAGTTGCTTCCAGGGGATATTCTTTTATTATTAGTTTTGCGAAGGCCTTAACCCTCCATGAGGTAGCCTATACTGTTACTAAAGAAATGCTTCTTATCATACTTCTGATTTGTTGATTTGACTGACCTTATTTTCTCTATTTTTGTGTACTTTTGTAGAGTATACTGCCCTTCTGTATGCGCGAAGTTTGGGTAATTACTGCATGTTTAGCGTTGATTGAAGCAACTGCTTCTCATCACCATGATGGAGTTGTTGCACCTGATATCGAGAAGGAATTCTACCGTCTTCAGGGTGATCTCTATTCGCTTTCACGGGTTAAGGTAGAAATCTGCTTGCTTTCAAAATTTGTACAATGAATAAACCCCTGTTTCTCTTCCCATTCGCTGACATCCTCTTTCAATTTCTGACTGGAATTTTAATAAAATTCTCTGTTGAATATTTTCTTTTGAGGTGATATTGCATTTGTCTTTGTCATAGTTTACTAATTGTCTTATGTGATGTCATACTAGTTGCATATAAATTTAATATGAAAATAATTTCCAGTGCTGATACCCATTGAAATGCCTTTATGATCATGACAGTTCATGAGACTGGGATATCTGATAGGATATGGAACAGACATAGAAAAGAGTCCACTGAACAGGTACGGGTCTATTTTTGTTATAGTATGTGTATTTTTTACATGTTAAATAGATGTGTTAATTCTCCAGTGACTTCCCGTTGATAAAGGGTTACCCAGTTAGTGAGGGAAGTATATGTCTCACTTAAAAAAACAGAGCATTTCCTTGTTTGCTCAAAAAAACGTGTCGGTTTTTCTCTCTCTCTCTGGGATTAGGCTGCTGATGATGTTTAGTAGTAACACCAACACATTTTATGGGCAGTGCTTGTCTCAGTATGCTGCCTTGGCCAAAACCGGCAGTCTGGCCATCTCTTCCACAAGATGCTTCCTCTGAGGTGCTTGAAAAAGAAAAGGTATAATCTACATATGCTGCAGTGAATGTGTTATCTATTTGGAAACTTTCTTATTTTAGCCAATCATGCTTTTGATTCGAGCTAAGAGTTAACTGTACTTACATGACCTCTTGTGGACACTGACATAATGTTTTTTACAAGAGTATTGTTTATAAATGTAGTATATGTGAGATCTAGGTCTATGGAACTATGTTTACCATCTGTTTTTTTAAGAATACTTATCTCCTTGTTTTGGTACAGACTATTCTTCAAGCAACTTTAAGGACCAAGCACTTTGGTATTCAACAGAAAGCATTACCTCTTGAACCATCTGTACTTCTACGTGTGGCTAACAGAAGAAGGGCTTCTCTTTCTACCGGAAATATTCCTGAAATATTTGATGGGCGTCCAAGTTTTAACGAAGGGTAATGAACTTTATAAAATTCTGATCTTTCTTTATCCCTTCTTATTTCAAGTGTGTTAGCACTCAATCTCATATGTCTTCGAAGTTCCAGGAAGAATTGCAAATCATCAGCTTCTGTTATTCTTTGAGGAACTAAAATGATATGTTTATAATTCTGACAGATCAGGTTTAGAAGCGTCTCCGAGAACACCTTCATCACTTAAAGTACAAGCAGCTCCCATGTCAAGAACGAATTCTTCACCTGGAAATTTTGAGAGTCCGCTAGATAGGCCTATGAGGCTTGCTGAAATTTTTGTTGCAGCTGAGCACGCTCTGCGACTTACCATTTCAGATCATGAATTGTTGAAGACATTGTCATCTATTCAGGATTTCGAGGTAGAATGCTAATACCATTAACATAAGGACAGTGAAACTTCTGATTTTTATGCTGCTCTTTCTTCTAGTGTCTCATGTATATATTTTGCTGTGGCAGAATAAATATCTCAACCTAACTAAAGGTGCTGCCGAAAACTATCACCGTTCTTGGTGGAAGAGACATGGAGTTGTTCTTGATGGGGAAATTGCAGCTGTCTGCTTCAAGCACGGAAAATATGATTTGGCTGCAAACTCTTATGAAAAAGTTTGTGCCCTCTATGCGGGTGAAGGATGGCAAGATTTACTGGCAGAAGTCTTGCCTAATTTAGCTGAGTGTCAAAAGATTCTTAATGATCAAGCTGGGTACATGTCATCTTGTGTTAGACTACTTTCGTTGGATAAAGGTTTATTCTCGTCCAAGGAGCGGCAAGCTTTTCAGTCCGAGGTTCTTACTCTTGCTCACAGTGAAATGAAGAACCCAGTTCCCTTAGATGTGTCATCGTTGATCACATTTTCTGGAAACGCGGGTCCTCCACTTCAGTTGTGTGATGGAGACCCTGGGAATCTATCTGTTACTGTGTGGAGTGGCTTTCCTGATGATATCACCCTTGATTCGCTTAGTCTTACCTTGGTAGCCACCAACAACACTGACGAAGGCGGCCAGGTTTGCCTCCATTAGCCATGAATTTTCTCGTTCTTTACCTTTTTCAAATTTCTCATTCTTAAGAACTTTGTATATGGACTGGGTTTCAGGCTTTAAAGAGTTCCGCTGCAACTGTACTAAAGCCCGGACGTAATACTATCACTTTTGCTTTGCCTCCACAAAAACCCGGTTCCTATGTCTTGGGAGTAGTTACTGGCCAGATTGGGCGCTTGAGATTCAGGTCTCACAGCTTTTCAAAGGGTGGTCCCGCAGATAGTGATGACTTCATGAGTTATGAAAAGCCTACCAGACCTATCTTGAAGGTGCACGATCTCCCAGTTTAAAAAATACTGATTACTGCTTTTGGAACGATAAAGAATCATTAATTACATGCATGAGTAGTGATACTCTTATGGACACTTGTTTCCTTTGTTGATACGATAGACTTCTTATTCTCTAGGTTTCCAAACCGAGAGCTCTGGTTGATCTTGCTGCAGCTGTATCTTCTGCGCTACTAATAAATGAAGCCCAATGGATTGGTATCATAGTACGTCCTATTGGGTACTCACTTAAAGGCGCCATCTTGCACATTGATACTGGTCCAGGTCTAAAGATTGAAGACTCATATGGCATTGAGATGGAGAGATACATGGACACAGATTGTGATGCTAGCGCATCAAAAGCTGATGTTTTTGTAGAAGATAGTCCTGTCTCTCCAGTACGGGATTCAGAGGTGCTTAATCTTTGCGATGGTAAAATAGTGTTTTCAGATTGGGCAAGCAATGTGAGTTCTATTCTGTGGGTCCCTGTTCGTGCATTGAGTGAGAAGCTTGCTAGAGGGTCATCTTCAGGTTTGCAGCAAAAAATTGATTTTCTGATTATTACATGTTTGTGTCACATCCACTGGCCAATGATCATCTTTCTTATGTGTTAACAGTCAATCCACTGAAACAAGATATGTTAGAGGGAATGAGAACTGTAGCTTTGAAACTTGAGTTTGGGGTTCATCATAACCAGATATTTGAGAGGTATTTCTTCCTTGGTGTGGTAAATCTTGATCATCGTTTATCCGCATCAGAGGTTTAACCCGACTGAAACTGTACTTTTCCTCATTACTTTCTTCTGATTTTGTTTTGTGAGCAGAACCATAGCTGCACATTTTACGGACCCTTTTGATGTGACCACAAGGGTGGCAAACAAATGCAATGATGGCACTTTGGTCTTGCAGGTAGCCAACTTTAGCTCTTTTAAAATTTAGAAGTCTTATCCTTAACCTCTCAGTCCCCTCATTCTTATTCACGTCCACCCGAGATTATTAATGAAGTAATTTCTATCTACAGGTCATGCTACACTCCCTAGTCAAGGCAAACTTAATAGTTCTCGATGCTTGGCTCGATCTTCAAGATGGATTTGTTCATGGACAAAATGATGGAAGACCGACTTCAACATTCTTTCCGCTTGTTGTGTCTCCAGGATCTAGAGCAGCAGTCGTGTTCAATATATGCCTAGACAAGACTATGTCATCAGGTAAATCCTTCTGAAGAACGGTTAATATGACTGAGATTTTTACTTTATATCTTACTTTTGGTCAAACACACTTCAACTAATAATGCCATTTGCAGCTATTTATGATTTCCATTAAACGTTTCTGTAAGCTTATCTACTTTGCACGGATCTTAGTTTCTGTGAGCCTCCAATCAGGGTGCTTTATATCGAATTATGCAAGTTTTGGGTGATTGCCTTTTATGGGTGGCTATAAGCATACAGTGGGATTTGCATATGAAAACAGAGGAATGTTATCAATTTTAACTGCAAACTAACTAGTTGTTTGTACGACAGAAGGGAAAGATGTGCAGCTACCAGAGAGCATTCTGAATATCAAATATGGAATCCATGGGGATAGAGCAGCTGGAGCACACAAGCCAGTGGATGCAGATCACTCTGGAACTGATACGGAAGGGAGAGATTTGGTGTTCAAGAGTGCCATTGTTTTGCAACGTCCAGTGCTTGATCCTTGCCTCACAGTTGGATTCCTCCCACTTTCTTCTGATGGTCTTAGGGTCGGAAAACTTATCACCATGCAGTGGAGAGTGGAAAGGCTTAAAGATCTCAAAGAAAATGAAGCTGTAGAACAACAACATGTAAGTGACTGTTGATATAGCTTCCTACTTAAACAATAAATTACTTTTTGCGCAAGTGTTCTGATTGCAACCATCATCAATTACTATCAGTTGGTAAACCAGACTTTCCCTTTGGATCATTAGCTCTTTTTCTTTAAAATATTGAAATGTTCATCAACTGTTCTTGTTTTATTTACACAAGGATGAGGTGTTGTATGAAGTCAATGCAAATTCGGAGAATTGGATGATCGCTGGTAGGAAAAGAGGCCATGTCTCTCTCTCAGAGGAGCAAGGTAAGTAATATTTTTCTTCTTCTTACTTTTATTAGTGCAAGAAACCCTTTGCATCAACTTGATGATATGTTCTTTCTTTTGTTGTCTGGTAACAAAATTACAGGTTCAAGAGTAGTAATCTCGATACTGTGTGTCCCGTTAGTTGCGGGTTATGTCCGTCCTCCTCAACTCGGGTTGCCAAACGTAGAAGAAGCAAATGTAAGCAGCAATCCACCGGGTCCTCACTTGGTTTGCGTCTTGCCTCCACTTCTAAGTTCTTCCTACTGCATCCCTGTCAAGTAAATTAACAGAAGCTCTCTCTTTTATAGTTTTTTTTTAAGAAAACATTGTTTCTATGTAATTTTATTGGTTTGCAATTATAGAAATATCAGAGAATTTAGTTTAAACCGTGTAGAACACTGCATGCGGAATACTGAGTTTTGCTTATATTTGGATCAACAAGGCGTTTGTTTATTAAAATATTCCGGCATCCATGTACCGTATAAGGTTTTTTTTTTCTTGTCTTGTGCTGTTTTAATTCTCAATGTTTCTATGCAAGGCTTATTCACATACTAGCAATTACAGAAGATATTATACTATTAAGATATTAGATATATACAAAACATTTGAAGTTTTGAACCTTCCTAAGAACATAAAATCTCTTCTGAAAATAAAAGCGACGTCAAATTCAAGAACTAGAAGTAAAGAGTGAAGCAATGAGCGATACAAAAACTAAACGAGATAAAGCATAAGTAACACAAAACAGAACAGAAACAGAGGAAACTTCATACACTAAACTAAGATTATAAGTTAGAAGGAAGAAAAAAAAAATACTGATTCAAATTAAGACCATTAATAATACGCTTTAAGTTGAGAACTTGATACTCAAAGTTGGCATTTTGATATAAAAAAATGTTTATTTCCTCTGTTTATAAACGAACTAAAGTGACACATTTAACTAAACTAATCAAAAGTAAAATAGAATAATATAGATAAACGAAAAGAATAGAATAGTTTTAAATAGAACCAATGTCAAACACGACCGGTTGGGTAATTATGTAGGAAGGATCTAAAACAATACTATTACACGTTTAAATAAATAGTAGTTCTAATTTTGAAGGATCTACGAAGACATTGTTAAATAGGGCCAGGTTACTACTAAGTACATCGTATTAGCAGGAATATCTAATCTATAGTTTATTAATAAATTAGTTGAATACGAACAAATAAAAATACACAGTGACAGTGACAGTGACACTACTATTATTGTACTAACTAAATTAAAGTAACTATCACTTCGTTTTCAAGCAAACAAAAAAAGAAGGCTTCCACATAATCACCTGTCTGTATATTTGGTATAGCTATATATAGTGCATTAATATCCCAACCTAATTTTCTAAGCTAGCTTCCATCAACATTCAAATCGTATTCCATACATATATATATTTTCATAGAATAAGCCAATACCAATTTCTTATGTGTATTTCAATATGACGGTATAAGACCAATTTAATATATAGTTTTTCAATATGACGCTGTAATACCAATTTAATTTAATAGTGAATCTAATAGGGTGGGAAGAAATTGAGCATGGTAGATTATCTTTGTAACAATTCTCATAATTTGTAATAATTAATAAATCTAAAAACGATTAAAAAAAAAACCTCGATAAATACATAAAAGTATGTTGTTTGTTTGTAATTCAACATTATCTCCAATCTAAACGTACTTCACCACAGCCAACAAAATGCTGACTAGGTTTCTTAAACGAAACCATATGGCTCTTAACCATAAACGCAGTGACTCGCTTCGAAACTCTGATCTCTTCCATCCTCAGCTCTTGTAACCTCCTCACGTACTCAGGCACGTGCACCAAGTCCCACACCACTCCAACTCCTCCAGGTTTCAGCACTCTCACCGCTTCTCCTAGCACTCTCGTCCTCTCAGCCGCCGCCTCCACCGTCTTCTGACCGTATTCTTTCCCGACTGTGTGGAGAAACACGGCTGATACCACCACGTCGAAGTAGTTATCACTAAATGGAAGACGCCTTACGTCTCCTTCACGGCAAGTCACATACTCTTGTACTCCTATACAAAATATGTTTATTAATAGACTGTAAAAGCATATATTATATCACATCTGTAATAATCACTTAATAACCGTTAATCACGCAAATATATAGTTATAAATCTTACAAAATAATAATATGTTATTGGTCAACGAGAAAACGACTTTGAAAAAAAGACAAAGTCAAAAAAGTCAACGAAACTCACGAACCTTCGATGTGAGCAGTACGAAGAGTAGAGAGAGTAGTACTCATGGACCGATCCAACCCAACGACCCGACCCGAACTACCAGTTTTCTTAAGCTGCGTCGCCACCGCATTGAGCAGAACACCACGACCACATCCCAAGTCAAGCGCTGTCTTCACACTCGACCAATCCCCAACAGATCCGACCATCCTCTGCGCCATCTCGTACCTTAGCGGCACGGCGGAGTAAAAAAAATTCCCCGCCGCGTAAAACAAACACACGGCGGAAAGCGCCGTGACGGCACCGAAAAACCCTGCTGAGAATCTAGCCGCGGCGGCGTTGGAGAGGAGGAAAGACTCGACGAAGACGCAGATCGGGTTGAAGTAGATGAAAAACACGGCGGAGAGAAGAGAGAAAGCAATAGCGTTGAGTACAAGGAAGAAGAGTGTGTGTTTCTGCTCGATCCCGTAGATCGCGTAGATCTGAGCCCAGTCTCTCGTGAAAGTGCTCGTCTTCCCCATAAGATCAGAGTGATGAACAAGAAACAGAGTACGCTTACAAAAAAAAAGATCAATGAAACATGAGAAAGAGAGAAAGACTCTGACAGAATCTAGAAATTACAGTGAAGCTTATAAAAAATTGTATAGAGAGACAAAACATTTATATATATAAATGATGAGATGAGTGGTAACGTTTCTTTTCTCATGTGGAGTTTTCTATTTATAACTGTGTCATGCATAAACATTTATTTGTGTATATATGTGTGTGAGTATGTATTTTTGTTTTCGACTAGTCAAAACACACAGATTTTGAATGTGTAACCGTTCCAAATAATAATAAATTTTATTTTTGTATTATTAATGGCATTTTATTCTAAAATTTTTAGGTAGTTTGTTTGGTGAGTGACCACTATTTCATGTAAAGAATAAAACTTGAATTTTTTTTTGTTTGGTGAGTTCTCACTCATTCATAAGAATTTGAAATTTTAAATTCTCTTAAAAATTAACTTTATCTTCTTGTAATTTTGTCGTTTTTAGAAGATATTTTAACTTGTTTATGTTTCCCTTAATCATCATGAGTCATGAATCATGATGATTATAGACTCTTTTTAAATATTGTTTAAGATTAAAAAGAAAACATAGGATTCATAATTTTCAACAATATTTTTCTCCTTTATTAATGTTAATATTGACTTTTTTGGTATGGTTCTATTACTCCCTTATTATTTTATATTTTATATTTTATATTCAACTTTAATTTAAAAAAAAACTTATGTAATAACGAGTAGACAAGGAACTTGCTAAATGTTTTCTTGTTTTTAATACTGAATTCCATTTTTTCTGTCTCTCTAATATTTCTCTAATAACGGAAACTATAGTTAGTTGCAATATTTGTCTATATAATTTAACAAGAATGAAGAATTTCCAACTAAATATATCATTATTAAAACCCTTGGAAATATTATCACACAAGTTCAATAATGTGATTTAACTTTTATGAGCTTTCATGTCCATTCTATTTATTTAGAAAGGGATGAAAATAAAATAAAAAGAGAGAGTTGAAATTTTTGTGGTGCTAGTGAATGAAGTAGCTTAGGGCACATGCTAAGGTCTTTCAATCTGACTCCGACACTTGATTAGGCACATGCAATTTATTATCATATTTTTTTTTGCTTTCTTAAGCAATGAATTTTGACACATTTATAAACTTATATATGTAAATTGGATTTTGTGAAATTCGTTTTGTCATTCTATCACATTTATAAACTTATATATGTAAATTGGAGTTTTTGAAATTCGTTTTGTCATTCTATCGTTTCTTTTTATATACAGAGCAATCTGTAATATGGGAGAAACATCAAACAATATATTTGATAAAATATCGTGTTTTAACTATGGTTATAGTATTATAACTCGAATTCTGAATTTGCTTACACATACATGTGCTATCTATATGGATGTTCAAAAAATCTGGGAAGACACATGTCATAATTTTATTTATTGTCAAATTTTTTTTTTTTTTAAAGATATAGATAGATGTATAAATCAAATATGTTGCAACATAACTTATCATGATTTCGTCGGCAAGCAAAATTACATGTGTACTGAGAGCAGAGTACTTCAACAAAATTCCAAAATATTCATATTTAATTTTAGATGAAAACCAACAATCTTTATTTTTATTTTTTTAATTCTGTTACTTAAAAAAAAAATCAGAGAAAAACGTTCATATGAAAAAGCTAACTATTTGTTGAAAAAAAAAAAAAACTAACTATTTAAAAAATTTAACAGCATAGGTTATTACTGTACTACATGAGACTCTCTTGTTCACATAGGTTAAAGTAAAGTGTATATGATAGTGAAACCTATCCTTGTCATTTGATTTTATTTTTGTGATGTTTTCTTACCAATTGTATAGTTTAGCTAATCTTTTTGTTACATTTTGTATAGTTATGTTATGTATTATTATCATTCAATAAATTAAAAGTTTATAAAAATAAATATGAAAAGAAGAAAAAAAATTGAAGTCATAAGAAAGAGATGTTTATCAACTAACCATTCATACTGACACTTTGGCCCTCCTCTATTAGTAGTAGTAGTAGAATTGAATTATTATTTAGTAATTATGTACTTTACAAGGAATGAAGACACAATGCGACTGATAATGATAAACTGTTCAATAAATATGTGAGAAAAGCCTCTTTGAAGATTTAGAAATTTGATAAAATTCAAAGATAGAAATCTTTTAAACAGCACCAAATCCAAGAATTTGTCGGCAGAATCAATCTTTTTTACTTACTTTTTTAATCTTTAGACTTAACGCATAAAAACTGTCTGAAGCTATTCTCATAGGGTGCCAAACATGTCGGCTTAACCGAGTTCAACGCTTTTTTATTCTGGTTTACTATAACTTAGTTACCATCATACCAATAAAAATGGTCTAAACGCGATCGTGTCCGCCCAATAAACACAATTTATTAGCCCACAAAATGGACCATTACCAAATTTATCAATAATTAACATCCCTATAATCTAGTTGAGTCTTTAAACTCAAATCACTTAGTTCTTTTTTGTTTTTTTTTTTGAAACACAAACTTGTTCATCTATCATGATCATGAAGTAAATTAAGGAAGAGTCTTTGTAGTAATTTTTGTATTTTGTCATAAAACGACATACATAATCCGCGTTTTGATAAAAAAAAATGACAGGACGAAGATAAAAAAAAATTATATCATCCATTTTAGGGGAATTAAGGTATGTGGAAAACGTAGCAGCTTTTATTACTCTAGATAGGTGAAATAAATAGATTCTTACTTTTTTTTACCGCTGCTTCCTCGACTATATTTACTTCTCCGCACTGTAAATCGTGTGGTTTACCGAATCTTCCCCCTAAACCGGAAAAATAAACCGGTTCAAACCGGAATCCGTCTAAATAGATGAACACTATAGTCTGTAACAGTTTTTTTTCTTGTTTACCTACTTTGAAGACGTTGGCTCGATGATGCTGCACTAAGTGAGGATTATGGGATAAGCTTTTTTTTTTTTCAAAGACTTGAAGATTCCCAACTAGCATAAACAGCACCTATAATCTTCTCATGTAAAACTTGACCAGAACACGCGATGATTCCTCTGTCAAGACCTTCCAAGTATACTCCTTTCGAGAAGTCTAAGTTTCTACCTCCTGCGTCAGTCACCACACCACCAGCTTCTTCCACAATAACAACTCCAGCTGCGTGATCCCATATCTTCTCTTTGTAACTAGACTGTGCAAACTTCATAAACACTTCTGCGTCTCCACGAGCAATCGCTGCGTATTTCACCATGCTGTACACTCGCAAGGGCTGTTTTCTGTTGAAGAAATGGGACAATGGCATTGTAGTTAAGAGAGTTTTGAAGTAAGTTAAAAGTAATGTATACAAGATTAGTTACCTAACTCCCATGCTATTGGCAAGTCCTGCTGTGAACAGGTGGTTTGAGTTTGCTCTCTCTACTGGCTCACAAACTGTAGCTAAAGCCGGATCATCGACTGAGGAAACCTTAAGGAGTGTTGTTGAAGATTCAGGGAATCCTCCAGCGATTAACGGTTGCATCCACGCTTGACCACTACCTTTCTTAGCATACATGACACATCCTTTAGATACTGATCCAGCTACAGAGTTTTTCTTCATAGCTTGGTTACAACCATTACTTAAGCATTCTTTCTTAACCGGATAATTAGGACATCCTAGAACACCCAACAGAACTTTACCATTCTCTATCAAAGCTAAAGCAACAGCGTACTGATCGCCACGAACAAATCCTAACGTTCCATCAACGGGATCAAGAACCCAATGCCTTCCTTTAGGACCTCCAACAGAGTTACATCGACTAATAGCCTTAAGGATTTCACTCGATCCCAACTGTTTAACTGGCTTCGGAAGCCCGTATTTGGGAGCTTCAGATAACGCTTCGTTAACAGCATTCGAGACAGCTCCTAAAAGTCCTAAAGACTCAGCTTCCGAGAGAGCCTCAGTGTCTTCTTCAGCGACAATGGAAAGGTTTTGATCACCAAAAACTTCAGCTAAAACCCAACTCACAATTGCTTGAACACCAAAATCTGTTAAAAGTGAATGAACAAAGTCTTAAAGTCACTTCATTTGCAAAAGTATATTCTCTAATCAAAGCCTGTAAACAGAGCTTACTACTTACATACACACAACATTCTCAAAAATAAATCACTGTACAATCTGGCACACTATTAAACTATTACTACAGAGACAGTTACACGGTCTTGTAATATTAAAAATTAGCATCAAACAACATTAGCTTATGAAAAAGTGTTGATTTATTATACACATTCTGTCTCATCTGTCACTGAATTAAAGAACACAAGCAACCATGATTATTCGATTTCAGCTCAATTTGTAACGACAATTATGCAAATCAAGATTCATCTGCGAACATTAACACAATCCAATATCACAAATTCAATCAGAATTAGTAACTCAAAACCCAAACAGATCTCGAAATTGCAATTAGAATTCAATCACTAAACATAAAAGATCATACAATTCGAAATTTTACAAAAACGAAAAAGCAAAACCTTGAAAGAAAAAAAAAAAACAGAACACAATCAGAATAAAAAGAGAAAGACAGAGAAATCGAACCTGCGACGGTGACAGGGGAATCATCGTCTTTAGACTTGACGTGAGCACCGTTAGGAAGATGAAGCTTCTCTTGAACTTTAACACAGAGAGAAGAAGCGAGGTGGACAACACGCACCGCCGTGTCCATCTCCATTTCTAAGGATTCCACCGCCATCGCCGGCGAAATCTATCGGAGCAGAGGAGGAGCCGAGGAAGAGATTATCAAAATTAGTTTTTCTTCACATGCTCTCTCTCCACTGCTTCATCTCCTCTCCCTTTGTTTCCACCTTTTTATTTGCAAAATGATATAATTTGTTATTTTTCTATTTCTTTTAATTTCTTTTGTGACTTTTGTCGCATTTTTATTGATTATTAAATTAATAAAAACTTTACTTTATTTTCCAGGATAAAAAAATAATATAACAACACTATCCTTCGATTTTTCAAAAGTATCCTAAAGTATAAAAAAAATTCTTGTGATTTCATTAACATAAAGTTTATTCATAAGAAAATCTTAACCTAATTAAGCATTGTAGTTTTCAGCAACCTTACAAAAGTGTTTCTGTAGATGCTTCATTTCTAATAAAACGAGATTGGGAAAGAATCTTTGTGGGTATCTTTTTGGCATAATCTTAGTGAGCATTTTAACTAAAATACTTCTTTCTAATGCAATACAAACATTATGTAGTTTAATAGATATATTCACGTTTAAGCTAACGAAACACTTGTTATGGTTATGAACGTGTGAATTTGGTGGGTGGGTTTTGTAACTTTGTAGAAGTTGTATGTAGTTAGGTGAATTAGAGAACACGTGCTGAAAATAAGAAAAAAGATCGAAATAGAAAAAGTTCTTTTTATATAAACGTAAACGTAAGTTATCATACTCTTATTTTTGTTGTCAGCTAATTAGAATTCTCATTAGTACGTCATTACATATAATTGTTCAATAAATATGGTTTTCTTAAATCATTTTTTAATTTTTCGTAAGACTTATAATAATAGCCTTGGTAAGTGATTATAAATAAATAAAAAAATTAAGGAAAACTACACGCATGGTTCCCTTGTTTTTTATATTAACGAAGAGGTCAAAATGTATATGGACCGTAAAGGAGGTTTAGTGCATGGTCGTCATGCATGTGGACAGAAAGCTCCTGTGATGCTGTACAATCGAAATCGAAATCGAATTGAATAATCTGTATTTGATAAGTGAGACTAGGACTAAATTTATGTTAGTAATTAAATTAATCTAAAAGAATTATATTAAAAGCTTTGTAAACCGTCCAAACTAATCGTACGGTTGATGATTCTAGACTTCTAGTTATGGTGTTATGGTTTGGAAACGAATGGTTCATAAATAAATGGACAATTTAGTATTTTGATTAATTGTGTGGTTAATTTTATAACACCGAAAAAGTAGCTGATTGTGGTAGTTCCTTTTTATATTATTTTCCTTGGGCTAGTTTTTTTTTTTTTTTTTTTTTTTTCTTATAGCAAAGTTAAAAACCATAACTGTTTGTTTATATAAGCCCAAAAGTAATGCTTGTGTTATACCAACTATGTCATTGATGTTAAAATATCACTCCACAATATGATATGGTTTGTTGGGCTGTTAGGAAACTTATCTTCTAGCCTTTGAAGCCCATATGAAATCCCAAAAATGATTTACAGATTTTAGGAAATCATTAATAGAGTTTGTAGTAGCTAAACTTATAATCAATGGAGTAAATATCATCTTAAGCAGAGAACACATGGCAAACTCTCCAAAAACTCTAGCTCTCAGCTGTTGCTATGTCATCTAGTTTAGTAGCATAACATCTCTTTGAATGTATCTACTTTGATTATTCAATACCAGTAAATACCTCTTTTCATTCAGTTAGCTGATTTGCAAATTTGGAAATTTCAATCAAAACAAATGGTTTGTGTTAACATTGTCCTTGTGTCACACTACTCGAATCAAATAGCATGTTGATCAAGTCACATTTGAAACCTATAGATACTTTTTCTTATAAAAGTAAAGGTTTTATTCAACTATTTCTAAGTAGCTTTGTTTTTGCTAACTTAAAAAGAAAAGAATATTGATTTGGGAAAGCTAATATTATGCAACAGTTATTTTAACTTAAACGAAATACGTTAGCACATAGTATAAAATTTTCATTTGTTTAAATGTTGTTGAAAATTAGTGAATACATCAAACATATTTTATTGACGTGATTTTATACTATTAAGTAATAGAAATTATATTGAATGGCGTCAATTTTACATAATTGATGTCAAATAAATTAATAATGAAACCAAATTGATATGCTAGATTACATGATTAGTACAAAATACTTTTAAACTGATTCTAATAAGCATTCTTTTGGTTTCTTGCATTTTAAAATTGATGTTACGTACCTTGTTCTTTGTCTATATATTGAATGGGCAAAAATTTAAAACTTATCATGTCACTCTTATCATTGTACAACCAGCATATTTAATGTTCTTGCCTTGTATAGTTGTTTACGCGTTAACGTATCATCCCATACATGTTTTTCTTAATTCATATTATATCCGGTACATGTCTTTGTGATGTTTTTAGTATAATGGTTTATTATATATAGACCAAGAGTAAATCAAAGTGACTAGTTCTTGATTATCAATCTCAAACCATAGTTCATTTGATTCTCTATGTGTCTCTTTTCCAGTAAAGAAGTTAATCAAGTTGATTTTGGATTTGATGATATGTGATTGATAGAGATAATATAAGAATAAATGGTTGGACCTAAAAAGGAAAGATGAGGATAGTCAAATGAAAAGAGTCGTTACTAAAACCATATTTTTATTATCTTCTTATCAAACTCAAAAACTCACAAAAAAACAGAAAAAGGCTAAAGAACGTAACGCTCCTCTCGGCTGTATTCACGGCCTCGACGTGATTGACGGTCTCGACGTGACCAACGTTTTTCATTTCATTTTGTTTTCCCCAAATTTCAATTCAAAAATTATATAAGAAGCTTATTTTAAAATTTAGCCACTAAAACCGATAATTACTTCAGTAGTTTAAAGACTTCATAGTTCATAGATTATATGTAACTTGTATACACAATCCTGATTACGCAAAAAATAACCAAAATATATTAACATAAACTCTCGATGTATCAATCATAATACAATCATGACTTGATATTTTCTCTTTCTTTTTTTTCTTCTTAATTTTCGTCGAATGATAAAAACACAATTTACGTCTAAAACTTGATACAAAACTAATGTGAACACTTGCGCAGTCAATTATTAAATGATGGCTTTGGTCTTTTGGATTTGTGTTAATGTTTATTACTTTGCTGTATATGTGGATAACTGTTTATTCAACTGTACATGTTACATGTATTCCACCAGTCTATATATATATATATATATATACCGTTTATATTGTTTGAATGGTATTTAATATTTTAGATATATGCATGTAAGAAAGGATAATATAACTCTACATGTATGCTCACTGTTATCTGGGGTAATCTATCTATATATTCAATGGCAAAAAAATGATTATATCCACAACTTAAATAGTATTTTCAATAATGGTAACGTTTTAGTCTTCCACGTTCACTGACGATTTCGAAGAATTCGACAAAATCGTATAATATCATATTAGGTGAGGTTAATGGATCACTTTTGGAATAGGGTCCAACATGTTCTCGTCTTAGGTGAGTAAAGTGCTAATTATTGTTAATTAAACCATATGTAATGTCTTTTCTCCGAAAATGACACATTATGATGTTTGTCCCTTATGTTTTATAAAAAAAACTAACAACCACAAAAAAAAAAAAGAGACAGAACATATCATAGAAAGCTTTAATTGATAGCTTTAATTGATAACAGATTTTATTAGTGTCTGAATAGAAATTTTCGAATCAATTTATTCTACAAGAATACGTTGGACGATTGTCTGATTAAGATGGAACTTTTTTTTTTGAATTAATCAGAGCCTAAAAATAATAATTCAACGCGTTAATCAGAATATGATATGTGCCATTTATAAGGTCGTCCCATATTGTAATGATTAAAAATAAACTAATCTAAAACTAAGAAAAAAGTCTTATAAGTTAGTACGTAGTCGTCTTCTTCTAATTCCAGCAATATTTGAAGTTTTGTTTTGGACTATATAATAAGTTAAGATTTTAAACTAAGTAAAAATAATAAAAAAGATTCAGCTGTATAAGAATCATGTGGTTTTGATATGCGAACGCATGTGCAAGCACATGGTGTGACCTAACGACTTCATCCTCCACTATCGTATTATATTTTTTTTTTATCTTAGAATCTTGCATTTTTGTTATATAAAAATTATGTTTTTTTTTTGCCTTATGAGAACGAAATTTTCATGTCGTGTTATGATTGGCAAATTCCCCAAATATAGACTTTATTTACTCCATTATATAACGAGAAGACATATAGTTAACACGTTAAAGACCATAGTCTCTCTAAATGAAGTACCAAAATAATTAAATAAATAAATTACGTAATCAAACGATGAGTCTTAGGTTTTTTTAAGATTGGAATCGTTTTACAAAAGATGAATAATGTAGTTTGTAAAATAATATATAATGTGTGACGAATTTAAAAAAACCGTGTTGTTACGTTGTGTGTTTGGTCTCTTTCTATCAGTTCTAGTACTTGTATGTGTGTGTTCTCTTTTCCCAAGTGAAGACAACGTCACAGGTTTGGTTTTGGTGTTATCATGTATTGGTGTTGTTGTAAGCACAAAAATGCAAAACGAAGAGAAGCACCGTCGTCATGGTTACGGCGCCGTCATCGTTGTCCACTCCCGTCTTCCAAAAGCCGCGTTTTGTGGGGTTCTTCTATGCTACTTAATTTTATTGTTTCACCACTCTTTAATTTTTTCGAGTTTTGCTGAAATATTCAGCTTTGATACTTTATTTTTATAATGTTTTCATGTCCAAGTTTATTATTTAGTAGCTAGGTTAACCACCTGTGGAATTGTCAACATGTAAACTATGTTATTAAATATAAGATTTAGCATATTTTAGAGCATATAGTATCCCATCATGCATGCTTAGCCGATTTCTTTAAAACAAGATTAACAATTAACACATTAACGAACTGTTTATTTTTATTTTTTAAAATTAAATATCAAGTAACTCAATTAATTTTTACTCATGTAGTTTGGTTGATTAGATCATTAAAAAACTGATCAGCCATATATAAATAGATGAGTTGAATTAATTGATTCATTCATCCATGGTAGATTAGTTGGGAACTTGGCTGGTCAATTTGACCTATTTCAAGTTTCAACAGTTATTATTACTATAAGTTATCATACTTAATCTACGTCTTGCTACCAATTTAATCAAAAAAAGACTACACATAACTACTTTAGTATATGCTGGTAACAAATGCGAGTTTAACTTAGTGGTTGACAACATATTTAAGACAACCTTCTTTTCACCATTAATGCAACACGATCACAATATGTATATATAGTTCTATAGGTTAGGTTTCCCACCAGCTACCACTTTTATCATATTATTTGGTAACACAAAATCCAACTTACTAATAATATTCCATACTCAAAATCACATTAATACCATGCCTCTTTTGTTACTATCACCTTGATAGCTCAAATTCAATAAATCTTGAAACTAATAAAGATAATCTCATTACTCTTTGATGAAAGATAGTTTCCATAAAAACAAATGGTGATTGATGATAAACAGTGGCCTACGAATATATAAGCCAAAAGACATGAACGTTTGCTTATTCTTCTTATCTTTCTTGATAAAGACATTACAAAAACAAAAAAAAATACTCAAACATTAACAGCTAATACCCGCCGCGAATTAGGACAACAGACAAAGAAAAAACAAATACTTAACTCTTTTTAATCATATTATTAAAACTTTATTGCAATAAAGTAAAATAACTAATCTTGTTGTTAATTTATTCTTTAATCTCCCTCTCTATTCTGATTAGTCCTATATTTAACTAGTCTTCTCTCTCTCTCTGTAGGCCCTTTGTGAAGGCTTCCCTTTGAGAGTTGCAGCTTCTCCTTCTGTAAGATGACAGCCTAATCAATCAAACCAGCCTGGAAAGAGCTATCGAAAATTTTCAGAAACTAACACTTCAAAAAGTCTCTACCTTTTCTCTTTTTTCCTCTTCATTTCTCTGCTCTAACACTAGAGTTTTGATTGATTCTTTGTTCCTACCCAAAACCACACATTCTTCTCCAATTTGGGTTCTTTGAGCCATGTGAATCCAAACCCTTAAGCTAATTCAATACCCTCCTCCATTGTTTTCTCAACTTTCTTCAAGAACAATCTTGAAAGACCAAAGTTTGATTCTTTTTTTTGTCATTGAGTCTTCATTTTTCGATTTGGGTTTTAGGGTTCTTGTTTAAAGGTTCATGCTTTACACAACAATGGTGTTCACGAAATCATTGCTTCTTCTTCTTTTGTTCCTCTCTTGTTATACTACTACTTCATCTGCCTTGTTCAACCCGCCGGACAATTACTTGATCTCTTGTGGTTCATCGCAAAACATAACCTTTCAGAATAGAATCTTTGTTCCAGATTCACTTCACTCATCTCTTGTACTCAAAATCGGAAACTCTTCAGTTGCAACATCGAGTAATACTTCCAATTCAAGCAGTTCGATCTACCAAACCGCTCGTGTTTTCTCCGGTTTAGCTTCTTACAGATTCAAAATCACTTCTTTGGGTCGTCATTGGATCCGTCTTCATTTCTCACCAATCAAGAACTCTACTTGGAACTTAACCTCTGCATCAATCACTGTCGTAACAGACGACTTCGTGCTCTTAAACAACTTCTCTTTCAAGAACTTCAACGGCTCTTACATCTTCAAGGAGTACACGGTCAATGTCACTTCAGAGTTCTTGACTTTAAGTTTCATCCCTTCCAACAATTCGGTGGTATTTGTCAACGCGATTGAGGTTGTCTCTGTTCCGGACAGTCTTATGCCTGATCAAGCTTTGGCTTTGAACCCTTCAACTCCGTTCAGTGGTCTCTCTCAGCTTGCGTTTGAAACAGTCTACAGATTAAACATGGGAGGACCATTGTTGACTTCTCAAAACGACACATTGGGGAGACAATGGGATAATGATGCAGAGTATCTTCATGTGAACAGCTCTGTTCTTGTCGTAACGGCGAATCCTTCTTCGATTAAGTACTCTCCTTCTGTGTCTCAAGAAACAGCTCCAAACATGGTTTATGCAACTGCTGATACAATGGGTGAAGCTAATGTAGCGAGTCCAAGTTTTAACGTCACTTGGGTTCTTCCTGTAGATCCAGACTTCAGGTACTTTGTTCGTGTTCATTTCTGTGATATCGTGAGTCAAGCTTTAAACACGCTTGTTTTCAATCTTTATGTGAATGATGATCTTGCTCTTGGAAGTCTTGATCTCTCTACGTTGACTAATGGTCTTAAAGTTCCTTACTTTAAGGATTTTATCTCCAATGGTTCAGTTGAATCTTCCGGTGTTTTAACCGTTAGTGTTGGGCCTGATTCACAAGCAGATATCACGAATGCGACTATGAATGGGTTAGAGGTTTTGAAGATTAGTAATGAAGCTAAGAGCTTAAGTGGTGTTTCTTCAGTTAAATCACTTGTTCCGGGAGGATCAGATAAGGGAAAGAAGAAAGCTGTGATCATCGGTTCTGCGGTTGGTGCGTTTATTGTGGTTCTGCTGATTGGAGTTTGTTGCTATTGCTGTTTGGTTGCTTCAAGGAAGAAGCGCTCAACGAGTCCTCAAGAAGGCGGTAACGGTAACGGACATCCATGGTTGCCATTGCCTTTATATGGACTGTCTCAGACTCTTACCAAATCAACAGCTTCTCACAAGAGTGCCACAGCTAGTTGCATTTCATTAGCATCTACACATCTTGGCCGTTGCTTTATGTTCCAAGAAATTATGGATGCTACTAATAAATTTGATGAGAGCTCGTTGCTTGGTGTTGGTGGATTTGGCCGGGTTTATAAAGGAACTTTAGAAGACGGGACTAAAGTCGCGGTTAAAAGAGGTAATCCGAGATCCGAGCAAGGTATGGCTGAGTTCAGAACCGAGATTGAAATGCTGTCGAAACTTAGACATCGACATCTCGTCTCTTTAATCGGTTACTGCGATGAGAGATCCGAAATGATTTTGGTCTATGAGTACATGGCGAATGGACCGTTAAGGAGTCATCTCTATGGAGCTGATCTTCCTGCATTGTCATGGAAACAAAGACTTGAGATATGCATTGGCGCAGCAAGAGGATTACATTATCTACACACTGGTGCATCACAGAGCATTATACACCGTGACGTGAAGACCACGAATATCTTACTCGACGAGAATCTAGTCGCGAAAGTCGCTGACTTCGGGCTATCCAAAACCGGCCCTTCACTCGATCAAACTCATGTGAGCACGGCTGTTAAAGGAAGCTTTGGTTATCTTGACCCGGAATACTTCAGGAGACAGCAGTTAACAGAGAAATCCGACGTTTATTCGTTCGGTGTTGTCCTAATGGAAGTTCTCTGTTGTAGACCGGCTTTAAACCCGGTATTACCGAGGGAACAAGTGAACATAGCGGAATGGGCAATGGCATGGCAGAAAAAGGGTCTGCTCGATCAGATCATGGACAGTAACTTAACCGGGAAAGTGAATCCAGCTTCACTGAAGAAATTCGGAGAAACCGCGGAGAAATGCTTGGCGGAATATGGCGTGGACCGACCTTCTATGGGAGATGTACTGTGGAACCTTGAGTACGCGTTACAGCTCGAAGAAACATCTTCGGCTTTGATGGAACCTGATGACAATAGCACAAACCATATTCCCGGGATTCCAATGGCGCCTATGGAGCCGTTCGATAACAGTATGAGTATAATTGATAGAGGAGGAGTAAATTCAGGGACTGGTACTGATGATGATGCGGAAGACGCGACCACGAGTGCCGTGTTTTCGCAGCTTGTTCATCCTCGTGGAAGATAGAACAAGAAGAAGAAGATAAAACACATTTGGTGAAACAAACAGAGACAGAGACAGACATTGTTTGTTTTTAAAAAGTTTACAGAAAGAAAGATATTATTTACTGAAGACTTTTGGGTTGGAACAACAAAATGATTCATTCAGAATTTCTTTCCGAATTTTTACGGTGTATTTGTTTTGTAATATAGTGAGTACTACTGATGTTTTCTTAAAGCAATCAAGAATCAGAATGTGATTATATTAACTAATTTCAAGTTTTGAATATTTCATTTTTCAGTTTGGTTCTTCTTAATAAAACAAACCGTTAAAACGTATTTGCACATTTGTCAGTTTCGTTATGAAACTCTTTTCATTTTTTTACTTGCATTGCAAAGTTTTAGTGTTAATACGTGTATACGACGTCGTTTCTGATATTCTGAAAGAGGAAGAAAAAAAATCACAAAATATGCGGTGAGCGTGGATCGAACACGCGACCTTCAGATCTTCAGTCTGACGCTCTCCCAACTGAGCTATCCCCGCTTTTGTTATTTTATCAGATTGTAATTTAATTGATTGAAATTTCAAAACACCTAGTGACTTGTGTGTGAGTCTTAACAATCTCATGCACTTTTATTGATATAGTAGATTTGTAGATTAAGCAATGTTTATTGGTATTATATAACAATGAATAGGTTAATAATACAACATTAGATTACAAGGTGGATGATGATACAATACAAATACATTGCAAGTTACATATTTTTCCTTCACTTATAAATTATACTTTGGAAAATCTCCAGTAGAAGCTACTGCTCTCTGGCATTATTCTTCTTTTAAGTCATGTTTGTATGATCTTTCTTTTACTTCCTGCACACGATACCGTATCCAGAAGAAGCTCCACGGGTACAATCCAAAGTTGCATACTCAATCTCTGACTTAACTGAATCAATCTCAGCTTGTGTATCAGAAAAGATGCAAGTCTTACAGTCATTGGATAGTAGAGAAGAAGTCTTGAAGCTGTCTTCACCACCAACGACTGGCATCGCGACTCCAGCCTTAGCGGGGTTCTGGAAATCGGGCTTGTAGGTTCTTCCCAAGATTCCATCTACCTTAGGGGAAAGGTTAAAGAATCTGAACTGAACCTCAAGATGTGCAAAACAGTCATCTGATGGTACTTTGTAGCTGTGGATTCTGTCGTCTTCTTTTGTCACTGGAACCACATTGATCATGATCTCAGCTTTGTCCTTGATTGTCACAATCACGCTGTTTCTCATGCTCACTCTCTCGATCTTGATGTCCTTGTTTGGTGAGTACCTGGTTATAAAGAAACCATATAAGTTTCAAGAATCCGGCAGAAACAGAGGAAAAATGTTTTCACTATGTCACATCTCATGTGTTGATAAGAAAAGAAACTTAGGCTTTATATCAAATACTAACCAGGTGGAGAGAGTTTCCTCTGGGACAGAGAGATCTTGGCCATCAAAAGAGAATTTGAGATGGTCGACTTCGTTGTCCCATGAGGCGGTTTTGGCGGCTTCCAGGGAGAATTTTTGGGAGTTGAAGAGGAATCCGAGGGCTTGGATCCATGTGAAGTCTCTGGCACGACCAGCGGGTCTGTGACCAATGAACCTACCATTGATCTGAAGGTCAGAGTCAGAGACGAGGCTAAACTCTTCATTGCTCTTTCCATGGAAGTAGAAGACAATGCCGTCTCCTCCAATGAACCTCGGGTCATAACAAGCTGATCCAGGTCTGTTGCAATTTGGTTTCCTCACTACACCAAAAAACATATTAGCGTTTACTCTAAAGTCCTGCACAAAGACATGTGTAGAAACTTTATGATCAATGAATAGTAAAAAGCTTACTGCGGCATTGGGATTTGCAGGTAGGTCTATCGCAATCGGCGTAGCAAACTTTGTTCTTGGAGTTCATGGCAGTTGTGCTTGGACATTCCTCTGGACAATTGATGTACTTGCGGTAACATCGAGTGTAAGGGTTGCTACAATAAACTCCAGCTGCCTTGGCTTGCAAGAAACAAGTTGCAGCCACCAGAGCAGTCACTAGCAAAAGAGTCTTTGAGATCTCCATCTTTCGTGTCTTTCTTTGTTTTGATAGAAGAAGGAGAGATGCTTTGTTTTGGTGATGAAGAGAATTGTGTTAATTGTGAATTTATAGTGGTGAAAAGTCAAATCATTGCTTACTAAAGGGACTATTATGTTAATTAATTATTGAGATTACAAGTTGGAGACTGGGTGCCTTATTTCGACGAACTTCGCGGTGACACCATCAACAATTGCACTTAACCTTTTTTACTACTTCGTTTCTAAGTAAAAGTATGACTATTTCTCCAATTTAAGTCATCGTTTTAATTAAGATTAGTTTTTGTAACGACGACGAACTATATCATAATGAATCTAAATATGTTATAGTTTAGTACAACGGTAAGAAAGAACTTATATATGACAAGAAACTAATTAAAAAACATCGTAAATTCGATGTATACTATATGAACGAAGTTAATAAAATTGTTAGGAGAGAAAGAAGTGTGTGATCCACATTTCTCGGTCCTGATAAATAGGACAATGACATTTTGTTTGAGCATGCATGCATGTGTTCCTATATTATAACCAATGACCTGTTAGAATCTTATGCTATTGGTTCATGCATGGTTTCTGCGATTTCCAGACCAGATTTGTTTAGATTTTGTCTAACTCTTCTTCAATCAGCTGGTTTAGAATATTCTCAGACAAAATCTAAGCCAACGGAAACTAAACAGAGGTTGATGTGGCATTGTGGCGAAGTTCAGATGGTAAGTTCAACATATGAGCATCACGCTCGTCGAGCAGTACAATTGAAAGACCGGTACAAGGGGAATTTGGTTTTCCGTTAACAATGGTCAACAATGGTCTTTCCGTTAAATTTTCCCTATCTGTTTTTTTCTAACGTAACATACAATTTACACCAATAAAAATAACGCTAGCGTTACTTTATTTAAAATTTTCCATTTTTCAAAAAAATTTGGGTACCAAGATTGTTGACCTTGTCGTATCAAAAAGTTGTAAATTGTGATGTGGCAACATCTTATAATATAAAACTCCAGATTCCATTTTGAAATGTATATAGAATATATATTTCAGAAAACAGAAGATGGGCCAAGATGGATACAGGCCGGTCTTTGGGCCTTCAGTTTCGTATATAAACCATGATCGGTTTGTGGCACGAACATTAACTAGGCTTGGATCTCGATAATCGTACTCGTTTTTTTTTTTGTGCTAAATCTCTAATTTTTAATGATTCTCTGTTAGTTTCCTGTAGATCTTACTTATATAACTTTATAATTTTGATTAGGTTATAATTGGTTGGGTGATTTTAGGGCGTGTTGGGGAATTTTGGATCTCAAGCGTTTTGGGGATGGATCGTGATATGCCGTTCATTCCGCAAAAAGTTGTATAAGATGGTGGATGATCCTTCAACGGATTCAGTAGTTTCGTGGAGCGGTAACGGGAAGAGTTTCATTGTTTGGAATGAATCTGAGTTTTGCAGGGATGTTCTTCCACGATTCTCACACTATAAAGAGATGGCACCATTCATCCGCCGGCTTGGAAACATGGGTTTTAAGAAGATTGAATCTTCTGACCAATGGGAATATGGTAGCGATAATTTTTTGAGAGGGCATCCTGAGCCTAATCTTCCACCAGATGCAGTGAGAGCGAGACTAAAGGAGTTGGCCTTGGCTTCAAAGAAAGGACAAGCTGATCCCTCATTTTATCGATAAGGGTGTATCGTTTTATCTTAGCATGCTCTTCTTCTTTGTATTAAGGAAACCCGTTAAGTGATGGAATTTGGTATTTTCCTCGTAACAACAAAGTACTCTGTAAACTATGTGTTTGATGTTTTATTTTAACGTACGGTTTGAAACTCTGTGTTTGGTAATGAACAAAGGGATCATTATGTCTCTTGTTTGGGAGCTGGGTTCAATCCAAACACTCAAGATACTGTTTTCAACAATGTGACAGAATCTATTTGCCCTGGACTTACTTTTAAGACCTATGTGACAACTCCAGCTTCACATCATATCATCATCTTTCTTTGATGTTACCACTTACCACTAGTATCCACATTTTGAGTGACATTAGTCGCTTGTTGAGCATGCATGCATGTGTTATATTATAACCAATAAAAACCTGTTAGGGCATCCTCTAAGATACCTCTTAAATACCACCATTGAGTTATGATATCGGTCCATTAATGGTGTTACTCTCTTATGTGTGGTTTTATACGTGATCTAAATATTTTGTTCTTTGTTTCCAGCTGAAAGATTAAAATTCATGTAACGAGTTAAGAATATTTCATAGTACTTCTTCTATCTAACAATAGCTGTTTCACTTTCACATAAAGTTATGATTTTTCTTTTTCTTTTAGAAGTGTTGGTGTGTATATATTTTTATGTATACTGTCTTATCTATAATAGTTGAATAAATATGTAGATCTAATTATCTAAAAATATGGTAGATATAAGAAATCTATACATTTATATTTTAACTTGATATAAAGCTACTTTGAGTGACATTAGCTAGTCGCTTGAGAATTTGGTTCTTAACCGGCCATATATATTATATGATATACGTTTATACTTTTTAGTTCTAAAATTTTATACTATACTTGTAAACTAACGTGAATGAAGATAAACATAATCAGAACTTGTTTACACGTTGGTTGAGGATAAACTCACCGGATCGTTGATGTTTAACTTGATGCTTTTAAACGGTGTCGTTTTAAGATATAGCTAAAAACATCGAAAAAATTCACAAAAAATGCGGTGAGCGTGGATCGAACACGCGACCTTCAGATCTTCAGTCTGACGCTCTCCCAACTGAGCTATCCCCGCAATGACAACATCTCCTAAACAATAATTTATAAACCAAATATTACACATTTTATTACAAATCTTTTTTTTTTTTTAACTCTTAATTTTTTTTGTCTTGAGTTCCCTAGTCAGTGCTTCATCATCGTATTATAAAGAGACAGGACACTGAAACTCTAGATTGAAAACAAAGAAAAAGGGATTTGACTAATGAATCGAAATTATATCAACTAAACTTGATTAGTAACGTAACTTACAGTATATTAGATTGATAACATGAGTTACCATAAGTTAAAATTGAGTTATGCTGATAACTCAAACATGTCACCAATCATGATTTGTTTAAAAAACTTTGAGTTAGAGTTTATGTTTTATTGAGTTATGATTGAAAATTATTACATTTTTAAATCAAAACATTACTCAAAGTCATGGAAACTTTCATGAGATAAGATGTGGTAAGTTGAGTTACCTATTTTTATAATAAAAAACAAAAATTCAGTTATATAATACAAAAATTATTTACTTTTTGTTTCTATTTAATTCATATATTAATAAAAAGACCTATTTTGACTTTATTTTATTTATTAATTTTTCCTAAATATAGTTTTTAAATTTCTTATGTTTTGCCAAATTATTACTTTTATTTTCATATTATATGAAAATAGTCATAGATCTAAATATGATAAGACCTTATAAATAGGGGGTGTATGTAGTTAATTTTTTTTAATTTGCCATGTTACAAAATGTTTAGTTAACTTTGTGTATATTAAAATTATGTTATTATTTAGTTTTTAAAAAGTTATATATTTTTTAATTTATTAAATATATTTCACTAATAATTATAATTATCAATCTGTATATATAAAATTTACTTAATGATACATACCACAACATCTACCACAAAAAGTGTCATAAATCAATGATTTTGGTAAGATTACTAAACCAGCTTATACCATATTTATCCAGCTTAGTAAACCGTTACCACATAATAGAGAGACAAAAACATTGAAATTTTAGAACAAAGGAGAGATATATAAATTAAAAACAAAGAAAAAGGGATTTGATTAATGAATCAAAATTACATCAACTAAACCCAGAGAAACAAAGACAATGAAGAAACAAAGAGAGAGAGGGAGAGAGAGAGAAAAAAGAAGACAACTGCATGAAGAAACAAAAGAGGTGAAACATAAGAAGACTCGATAGCAAACTGAAAACACACAAAGGGGCGCCATGACCTTAGTCTCGGCCTGATCTCTTTTTCTTGGTCAGCCACCTTATCTCGATATCCTTACGATCATCGTCTTCAGGCTCCATGACCTTGTTTTCCTCCTCTGAGTGACCAGAGCCCGAACCATTCCCTTGCATACAAAGATTAATGGTGGGCGTTGGAGGAGGAGCAGAAGAAGGCACGATGACTGCTTTGTTCTTCTCCATTCTCGAGTGACTTGAGCCGCCCGCTCCATTCCCTTGTAAGGAAAACAGATCACGACAAACATTGTTGGTCGGTGGGTAAAAAGTAGGAAAAGGAGGAGGCACCATGGCGTTGTTGTTCATTCCCATTGAGAAGGGACTGTTGTTTGGGTGAGTACTTGAGCCGGCTCCATTCCCTTGCAAAGAAAACAGATCATGGCAAAGATTGTTGGTCGGTGGATAATAAGTAGCATAAGGAGGAGGCACCATGGCGTTGTTGTTCATTCCCATTGAGAAGAGACTGTTGTTTGGGCCACTTGAGCCCATCCCATGACAAGGATTGGTGTTTCCAAAAAGAGGAACATATCCTCCTGTGAATGGACTCATCGGGTTTCCAGCAGCATAATTGAATCTAGACACATGAGAACTCACGGGAGTGATCAGATTCGGTGTTCCCCTAGCAGCTTCCCCATTCAACGATGGGTTAGTGTTGTTATTAGCTCTTCCGCTGCTGGCTCCTTTGGAATTAGGTGGAGCGAGAGTGAGTTCAAGGTTAATCTCATCATCACCAGCAGGTACATTATTTGTAGCATGGTTCAAAGCAATTCTTGGAGAACTGTTATGGCCAGTGCTCTCGGTGAGGGGATGGTTTTGAGTCGGAGGAGGAAGCATGGTCGTCGTCTTCATTTTCTTGAGTACGTTTCCATCAGTTGAAAACAGGTAAGGGCGGCTGCTACTCCCTCCTCCGTACCTAAACGGACCAAAAGACATCCCTCCATAGCTGTCAAAAGGCATACGACAAGTATCAAGATGAAATGGTTGATTGAACTGCTTTTTGTGCATCTCCATTATTTCTCTTGCCTCTCTGTGGGTGTTTTGGTGACCGGCAAGGGCTTTCTGGCTTGAGAACCCCTTATCGCAGAGATCACAGAGGTAGACCATGTTGTCTCTTTCCGGTGGCACAACCTCTAAAACGAAACTAGGCCTCTCAAGGACAGTCCTTTCAGACACAATCACTCGAGGAGGCTTTTGTCTCTGAAGGTTCATCGTCTCCTTCTTCTTCTCCTCGGCCACAGCGACAGTCTTGCGTTTTCGATCATCTTTGGGTGGGGAAGAGGAGTTTGAAGAAGACACAGGGGATTGGTTCTCCATTGCTTGTTTTGTGAATTTGTCTTATCTTTTTTTTTCTTTCTGTGTGTTGTTGTGATTAAGGGAAGAGGCCCGGAGATTAACTATTTATTGATGAGAGGTTAACTCCTTTAAGGTATTAAATCTCTAAAGGCCAAACACATATATCTACAATTAAAATCATATATGACTTTGTATTCATAGCTTTCCTTAAATGATATTTGTTGTGTCTCTGAGTACCTTCCAGTTCACTATTTCTGACCAAAATAAATCAAATAAAGTTATCATATCTAAAATTTACTCTTTTTGTCTTCCAATATAATTGTTTTCTGAGTACCAAATCAGCTTTGTGTAGTATGATATTTATTTAATCATCTCAAATATAACCAACAATCAATGTTAAGCTATATAGACTTGATTATGGCTATAAATAATAAAGACATTATTTAGAAAATATCTTGCTTTATATAATTTTTTTAAATGGCGCGCGTAAGTTCGTTGAATCCACCGTTGCAAACTCGTGGGAGTTCGTTAAATTGACTGTTGCAAACTACTAACTATTCAATAAATCAAAAGTACTTTTATGATATAATAAAATAAATAAAAATTACTAAAGTAAAGTAACCAAAATATTAGATTTTCTGTTTAATGGAATGGTGTTATTTTTTACTTATCTTCTATATAATAATATTTAAATAATTATAAAGACAATTAAAATAAAACACAATATATAGAAAACTAAATTTCAAGTGTTTTATAAACATTTGTACACACACACGCCAGCTATATCTTAGTAAGCTTTACTACATTTGGTTCTTCTTTCTTATCCTGACTTAATATTGATATATTAAATATTAGTTGTGTATTTAGTATTTACTTTAATTATATTATTTTTAATTTTCTATGTTTTGTTTTCTTTCTTTCTTAACTTTCGAAATACTTTATTTTGCAAAAAAAAATACCCACAATGACAATTTAAAATAATGGTTCATCAACTTTTTACAATGGCAGTTTTATACCATTATTGCTGTATATCTTTACTGGCTGATCTCTATGAAACTATTGGTCAAAAATCTCCACATATATTAGTTGTCTATTACTATAAGTAATGGTTTATCACCACATAATACGATTTACTATGTATGTTGATTTAATAGCATTATGAAAATCATTTTGATGTGGCCAACATTACAAATTTTTATAACAATCTATGATTGTAAATAAAGTAGTTTTCAATATAACTTATTCATACAAAATAAGAACTTTTGTTATAAAAAAAAATGGACAATAAACTTTTGTACCACACCACATATCTAAATCAAACATATGTACAAAATATCAATTTCTATTGTTACACACTTGAAAAAAATGGCGAATGTGTACCACAGAAAACGAACTACTCATAAGTTATAATAATGGATGTCTTCTCATATACAAAAAGATCCAATTGAAATCTAGAACCAAGAAACCCCGTTTTAATCACATCTACTGTGATCAGTTGTTAATGTTGATGTCATTAGGAAGAACACTGTGGAAGAAGCCTATATAAGAGATAAAACAACATATTTGATGTTTCAAAATTCAAAACACGACACCATGAATGTCAATATATATGATATGCTCGTCAAATCATTGGAGGTGGTTGACCACATGGTCCTCATCAAGCATTTAGACTAGTACTTCTATACATTCGAAGGTTTAAAATGAAACAATATAAGTCCCACCAAATGCATATATCGATCTGAGACATCTTATTGGACTATAGGAGATTCCCCTTGGATTTCTAGAAAAAGTATTTTAGAGGTTCCAAGACCTTAAATAAGTCTCATCTTCTATCATTAATCTTCCATTATACTTTATGTGGAGACATCTCGCAAACCAAATTATCTAAGTTCGGTTGGAAAACGTAACCCTAGAAAATGAAGTGAAATCCATTCATTTCTTGAAATAGACGATATAGTTGCAAGGTCTATTCCAGGGTTTTGGCAAAATGGAGAATAACAAGCTAAAGTGTTCTTCATAATGTACTATCACGATATATTATACCATATATCAAATTCACACACTTTATAACTTCAATATATAAAATATAACATCCTAATATATAATATTTTGTCAATTTTCCAAGGTAAATGGTAGAAATTCTACAATGTCTCTTTGACAGAAGGGTTTCAAGCAAAACCCAGAGAATCTCTCTAAGACTCGTATCTTTAGAAAAATAAAATTAAGCTTACTAATACTTAGACCGTAACGTCCAAAAATTGATTAATTCATTACAACAATTATGAGATATATGCATTGAAAATTATTGGAAACATTAACAAGTGCCCAAACATGACATTTGAAAGAATGAAAAAACATGAGGTGAACAAAAGCCTCGGTGGCAATAAACTTTCTTAGTTTCTCAATCTATAAAACTTTAATAAATTTTCATACTGAATTATTATTTATATTTATGAAGTTCTAAAAAAACAAAATTTTAACCTGTTGTAAATGTGCCATATGTCAAGAAACGTTTCTCTTTTTTTCAACTTTTGTCTTACTTTATTATTATTTTTTGTTTTCTTTGATTGGTGAAAACTCTTGTAAGAAAAACAATGGACGGAGATGTTCTTGATTACTTCAAACTGAAGATGGAATACTACATGATGTAAAGAAAACTGAAAAACTCAAAGAAGACATAAACGATAAATCAATAATCACGACCCAAATCTTCTTCTAGGTGATGCTTATCTCTCATGATGATCTCTTTCTTTTTGTTGCAACTCCTTCCCATGTCTTCCTTATTTCCTTGTTCTTCTTCTTTGGGATGAGACTATCCGCTATTTTCTTCTTTCTCTCTTCGGCTGATTTCTTCTTTCTCTCTGAGATGAGAGTTTTCGACTGAGTAGAACCCGAACCATTCTCTTGTAAAACAAACAAATCAAGACAAAGATATTAGTGTTTTGATGACGTGCAACAAGAACAAGATCAATGTTTCTAGCTAGTGATTGAACCAAGCATGTAATTTCCAGTAGTAAAATAGTATATAGCCTAAACACAAGAGGGTGCACGTACGGGAGTTATCATTTTCATGGTTCTGCTGCTGCATCTCCACTTTTTGGTTCTCCTCCTTGTGGGTGGTTCGGTGACCGCCAAGGGCATGAGGGGTTGGGAACGCTCCCTTGCACGAAAGACAGATGTAGATCTTACTATTATACGGAGGTGGATTTTTTACTGACTCCTTCTCCTCCACGGCCTCCACGGCACTTTTGAGTTTTTGGTCATGTTTGTGTGGGGTGGAGCTTGAAGAAGCCATAAGATAAATTTGTGAGAGTTAGAAATGAGGTCTTATCTCTTTTGTGGATTTAGACAAAGGGTGAGAGGCTATTTATTGAGAGGGTTAATTAGTGTGTGTGTTTAACTCTTATAAAGGTATGAAATCTCCAAGGGCAAAAGATATTTATCGAAAGTTTAATACCATAAAACAACTTTGTATTCAAAGTTTCATTAAAAAAAAAAGTTGTGTCGTCTTTCTGACTCTTCTAGACTTCAATATGATAATGTTCTCTAAAAACTAAAACGATATTTCATGTGTGCAAAATACACCACTTTTAGTTATACAATTCAATTTTCACTCAATTTTTGTCTTCCAAAGTAATTGTTTTGTGTGAACCATGTACCAATATGCTTTGCATAATCTGAAATTTATTTTACTCACTTCAAATATAACCATCTGTAAATGTTACATTAGACGTGATTATGAGTCAAAAGTGTAAAAGTTAATCCAAATACTCTTTTTTATATATATCTTTAAAAGTGCCGTGATTGAGTTCGTTAAATCGACCGTTGCTGGCTACTAACTCTTCAAGTTCGTTAAATCGATCATAGCAAATTATTAACTCTTCAAGTTCGTTAAATGGACCGTTGCAAACTATTAACTTTTCAAGAAATTAAGTGTTATTTTTTCTTGATACCATATATATCTATATTAACTAATATGTTAAAATAAATTAACATTAATAAATCACGTAACAGTGTTCACAATATATGTATTTTAATTTTAATTTTAATATATATATATATATATATATATATATGTACTCTATTTTCAATTTTAGTGTGTGAAGTTATTTTTTCAATTATTATTTAAATATATAATTTAATAATTGCAAATAGGTACAAAAAAAACATTAACGCACTATATAGAAAATTAATTTTTGAAGCGTTTCATAAGCCTTGTACTTACACACTACAGATATGTCTTAGTCAAATGTAGTAAAGCTGTCATTATATTAATATATATTACTTTCTATGTTTTCTTCTGTTTTTTTCTTAATCTCTTTTCTACTTTCTATATACTTAGGAAAAAAATCCATATAATGACAATTTAAAATGATGGTGTGCATGAAATTTAAATATTACTTTCTATGCTTTTTTCTTTTATTTCTTTTTAACTTCCTATATGTACTTAGGAAACAAATACATACCAATTAAATAATTGTGCATGAACTTTAAAGAATGGGCTCAATAACACCATGTTTCTCTTTTAGTGGCCCATTGAAATTTAACAATTGGACAAATATTTCCAACATACATCATTTTGATTAAACTATTCTTTGTTATGCAAACCTTAGGTATAGTTCCACGTTCGTGAAATCACTTGGTTTAGAGCTGGCTAGAGGCAGGCCACTTTCATATTGGAATAATAGTTTTCTTTAGGTTTATTCACACATACACAACGCATTATATAGTACCTAATAACACCCATTAAATTGCATTGTTTAAAATGAAAATTTTGGTGTTGGTTGGTAGAGTCATCACATCAAATAAAAATCTTAGTAGTTAAATTATCTCTTTGTTCCATAAAGATCACATAAATAAACAACGAAATTGGAATCAATACAACAACAACTCCAAAATGGATACAGACATAACAGGTGAGATGGCCATGTGATTTTTTTCCCCATCTCCAACCTTATATGACCAATAAGTAAAAACACTTAACCGCCAAATAAACCGATCTTATAATATATCATTTGGTTTCCAGTAAATTTTTGTTATATGTTTGTAAATATGTAGTTAAACAAGTATAAAATATCATCGATTTACTAACACATAAAATTATTTATACAAAGAAAAAACAATTTGTTAAAGTTTACTAATTTTAAAACATCAAACTTTACATAATAAAATTTTAGTATAATCAAAACAAAGCTAAACCGAACTAAATAAACTGATTTGAGAGTTTAGGATTGAACCGAAACAAAGCTAAACCGAACCAAATTCAATTGTGAAATCGAATATTGTAAACCAAGTACCATAATCTGAACGGTCCAAAAGTATTGACCCCATCTGTCTCTCTTAGTCGCTCGTTCTGAAAGGGGCAAAGAAAAAGGATTTTTAATTTTTCTTCTCGAGAGGAAGAAGAAGAAGAAGAAAGAGAGATATTGAAGAGCGCTGAAGGCGGAAAAGACTGTTTTGACCTTGTCGTCTCCGTAGATCATTTTTTTTCTTCAGCTCTTCTTCTTCCTCTTTCGTTTCCCGATTCTTCTCCTTCTTCGGATTTTTATTATCTAATCCGAAATGAACGAGAAAGCCAACGTCTCTAAGGAGCTTAATGCCCGCCATAGAAAGGTCTCGAATCTCTCTTCTCTCTCTCTTTTTTTGCCTCCGAGATTTGTGGATTTGTGGTCATATATGTGAATTTGGTTCCCAACGAGATTGGTTAATGATCGGTGATCGATCCTGTATTTGGTACGATCTCAATTCGATTGGATCTGTGTGTTTAGCAGCCACTGTTCTTCAATTTCGTTGTTTTTTTTTGGAGTTAGGAGATGTTTCTGGTGTCTTTGTGTCGCCGATCTCTCGCCTTTTCGTTCGTTTGAGCTTAGGATTATGATTTATCAGCAGCGAAATGAGTTTATCTATTTCGATTTGTTGTTTATAACCGATCACGATCGGGTTTTTGAATTTCTGATTGTTCTATATTCATCGTCGGCTTATTGAATGTTTTAGTTTCATGGAGCTTGAATTATTGTGCTTTAGTATACGAATTCGTTTTCCATCGCTTGATTTTAGAAAGAATCGAATAGAGGGATCGAAGGATTTTAGCGTCACTTGGATTTTCAAAAATTTTAGTAGTCTTTGAGTTATTTTCGTGTAGAAACTATTGGTTTTAGTTGGGATAGCTTTGTGGGCTTGGTGATGCATATATGTATTAGGAATGATGCATCTCAAGTCTTTGAGAACTTCATTGACGTAGTTTATCTCCTACCTGTGGCTGCAATGAAAAATACATATATGTTTTGGTTCATTTTGGTTTGTTAAACATATCAATTCTGATAATTTTGAAGTTTTCTTGATAGTCTGTAATTTTTATGTGCAGATTCTTCTTTATGTTTTGCCACTTAAGAGTATTCTTTTCGTGTATATAGTCTATTGCTTGAATATTCACTTGACTTTGGTGCTACTTATTTCCAGATTCTTGAAGGGCTTCTTAAACATCCAGAGAACAGAGAATGTGCTGACTGCAAAACAAAGTATGGTTTTGTAGCTGATGTGAATTATTAGCATTGTTATGCTAGTTCATTTATTAATATCGCTAATACTATTCCACTTGCTTTGCAGAGGTCCAAGATGGGCTAGTGTTAATTTAGGTATCTTTATCTGCATGCAATGTTCTGGGATCCACAGGAGTCTCGGGGTACACATATCGAAGGTAGGCTCTCAGTTTCCTTTCTACATTTGTTTTCTTGATGCTGAATTTTAAACGAAAGCTCAGATATTAATTTGATGGATAACTCATTCCATTTGGCTCAATTTCTCTGGACAAATTTTTTCTACTCGGTTTTTAAATTTACATTTTCATCTTGTAATTTCCATCACAAGAGCTGAAAATTCTGACATGAATGCATTAAATCTCCTCACCTTCTTTTGAGGCCAATGTCGTCTATCCAGTTTACAAACGAACATAAGCAATTCTGTACAAAGTTACATGATTAGGTTTCACCCTCTGATTTTTGTATGGGACGGGTCCTTCTTGTCAAGTAGATGTTAACCATAGCAGCACAAGCTACTTATCTTTTCTACCAAAACGTCTGAGTGTGCTGATGGGTGCAGGTTCGATCTGCCACTCTAGACACATGGCTCCCCGAGCAGGTTGCATTTATACAGTGTAAGTGTCATTCAAACTTAATGCTCTATGGCTGATTCATGGGTTGGTTACGCCATGTAAAGTGTATAATCTTTTATTTACATGCAGCAATGGGAAATGAGAAAGCAAATAGTTACTGGGAAGCAGAGCTACCCCCAAACTATGATAGAGTTGGAATTGAGAATTTCATACGGGCAAAGTATGTATCTCTCTTTTCATTGTACAAACGTTTCAGTTAGTTCCACCTTATTGAATTGTCTATCTTTCTATTCATATGGACGCCGAAATCATTCTTGTAACATATGTCTTTTCTAGGTATGAAGAGAAGAGATGGGTTTCTAGAGTGGAAAAGGCTAGATCACCCCCTAGAGTCGAGCAGGAACGGCGGAAATCTGTGGAGAGAAGTGGTCCTGGATATGAGCAAGGGCACAATAGTAGTCCTGTAAATTTGTTTGAGGAGAGGAAAACTATTCCAGCATCTAGAACAAGAAATAATGTTGCTGCAACGAGGATAAGTCTTCCCGTACCTCACCAAGGACCCAGTCAGGTACCAAACATACTTCGCTGAAGATCTGTATAACTAGACAGCTGTACCTTTAGTTACAATCCGTATTCCTTGATCTTATATAATAATCTTAGGTTATCAGCTATGAGATCATCATATTTTTCAACTCATATGAAGCTGTCAGATTATTATTTAACTCACTTAGGTTTTAGGGCCTCAAAATCTATCAATGCCACTTTCTAACAGTGTCTGAAGCCTGGTTTTTCTGATACATGATGCTAAAAAACTACAGGTTCTAAAGCCACAGCAGAAAATGGAGTTTGCAGCTGCTCCAGTGGAGACAGAGAAACAAGCAGTAAATGTTGCACCAGCATCAGATCCTCCAAAGGTGGATTTTGCTACTGATCTCTTCAACATGCTATCAATGGATGATTCGACTACAAATACCTCAGACGCAACTCCGGCTGATGATAACTCATGGGCTGGCTTTCAGTGTATGTATCTATCTAGCATGTGCATAACTTCACATTGTGACACATTTTTCCTATACTTGTTAATTTTTTATGTTAATCGTTCTTCTCTTGACAATGCTTTGGAGTAATATATCAAATTTCTGAATCTTAAAATTGTAGCGGCTGGAAGTGGTCAAACAGCAGAGAAAATTGTCACAGCGAAGCCTGATGAGAGCAGCTCTCCTCCAGCTCCAGCTACTGGGATTGAGGATTTGTTTAAAGACACACCTAATTTAACTTCCCAACAAGCACCACAAAAAGATGTGAAAGGCGATATCATGAGCCTATTTGAGAAGGTAAATGCGTAGTCAATTATATACTCTCTTCACATTTACTTAATTACTTCTTTGTTGGGTCTACCTACCTTCCTACTGATATTTAGCTTCCAAGTTTCTTTTTTGTATGGCTATTTAACTTGCAAGTTACAAAGATAGCGACTGATTTTTTCAACATAGATCCTTTGATTTGTCTCATTTTCACTTACTATGATAAGAAATGGACATTTGAAATTCCAGACCAAAGTCAAGTGATATAACTGTGTGTGTTCCATTTGTTTACAGACAAATATAGTGTCGCCTTTTGCCATGCATCAGCAACAAGTTGCTATGCTCGCTCAGCAGCAAGCCCTTTACATGGCTGCAGCAAAAGCTGCAGGAGGCACTCCAAACGGCGTGAATCAACAAGCTGTTGCTAATGCTCTTAACTTGGCTTCTGCAAATTGGTCAAACACTGCTGGCTACCAGATCCCCGGAATGACTAACCCAGCAGGTGGTCAAGCTGATCTCCATAAACTTATGCAAGTAAGATTTTCCCCTTTGCTTTTTTTTTTTTATAGCAAAATCTATATTACCATTGACTAAGCTCTTACAAAATACTCACCAATTCTTGCTTCTCTGTTATCTCACCATAACTTTAGAACATGAACATGAACGCAAACATGAACATGAGACCTGCGCAACCGCAAGAGAACACTCTACAATACCCGTCATCCAGGTATGTACCCAACAATGCTGCATCTCCTAAGATTAGCAAAACTGCTTAACCTAACTCTCACATTTATCTTTTGGTTGTTATTACTGATGCCAGTTTCTACACAATGGGCCAAGCTAATCCGGCAAACGGTATGACCCCAAACTCAACCGGTAAACCTCAGTCATCATCCGCAGCACAACCAACAAGCACCACACCATCTTCACAATCAGGCAAAGACTTCGATTTCTCTTCCTTGATGGATGGAATGTTCACAAAACATTGATCAAGAGAGAGAGTTTTCTGAATTCGCCTGTCATCTTTGTTTTAAATTTGAAGAACCAAAAAGAATATATATATACAATCATCTCTTGACAGTTTCTCTGTTAAACACAATTTTTTTCACTTTTTATTTCGAACTGTGTTGTAGCACCCAGGCTTTGATTTATATGATTTTTTACTCGATTGCTGAAAGAGTAATAGATGTTTTATATAATTCTTGTGAAGAAAGAAAAATGATATTTATCCATTACGTTAATTGTGACCGCCACAAATCGTGGATTTTGTTCTCCTCCACATACGAGTTTATCAGATAATGTATATAAAATAATATACATACGAGTTTATCTTGATACATTTTTCGATTGTTTTAGACATAATTTTTTTATTGTCTGTTTGAGAACTTCAGTGGACCAGAAAACACATATTTCTAGAACATATAAACGTAACATGCAAATATTTAATTAGTTAAACCAAACAAAATATGTATACATCGAGTTTGTGACATACCAATTTTTTTGGAATGAAGCAAAACAAAAGAAACGGTTCGAAAAGCCTCCGAAACAGAAACAAATTAGTCCACCTTTATTGGTAAGATCAATAAAGGCGACGTGTTGATATTGAACTTGTTTCTTGTTATGGACGGCTCTTTTAGCGTTTATAAAGGTTCGAGTTTGGCATTATCGGGCTTTGGTCAAATGGCTTAAAGCTCATCCTCCTCCTCCTCCTCCTCCACCACAAGTTATTGTGTACCTCCCACTAGCCAACCTTTGTTTACCTTTTTGGTTACAAGATGTTTATTAGAAAGAACTCGTTAACCAATTCTATCCTGGACAAGCTTTTGAAAGAGTCTTTATACAAGCAATCCCTATACCGTACGTACTTATGATATGTTAAAATCTTGATAAATCTTTAGTGTAAATTGTAAAACTATAAAATCTACAAAGACACAAATTTCAAATCCTCTCGTGATAGCAAAGTTAGATTAGATCTTGAAGTTGATAGAAATCAATTTTTTCATTGTATTTGTTAATATTATTTATCTTGCATTTTTGTTTTCGTAACGTATATAGACAATGATCTAATACAAACATAAAATATACAACACATGAAAACCACGCAGGACGTTAGCCTTACTCATTTGGGTTATTATAACAAAAAATACCATGTCGGACTTGTACCGACCTTAGGGCATAAGTTTGAAGTTCGAGTTCTATAGTACACATAGAGGATAGAGCCATAATGCATAAATAGATCAATCAGCATCAAGTACAAAAATCCAAAATGGTCGGTAGAACTTTGTTGTGCTTGTTGACCCGTAACGCTCTACGCTATCTTTCGTGAGTTTGAATTGTCAAATCAAATCTACTATTAATATAAGCACTGATAAGCAAAACAAAATTGAACGTTTAGAAATTGAGAACGATGTTTACGTATGCTAATGCATCTATCTCTATTATTTTCATTTAAGATCTGCATGCATGTCCTTATCTAAAGCATTATTCACATACATCATAATTCGCATTCTCACTCTGAATTTTCAACTATTTAATTTTTACAATGTCAATGAAAAATTGGCCTACACTACCTAAAAAACCTAGCTCAATACAGTAGTAATTACTTTATATTCGTTTCATTTCCAAAATCAATTATTGTAACTTAAGGAATTGTATTGAGTCGAACATGCTTAAAAAAATTCTAGAGTTGGTATAAAGGTAAAGAATACAATAGTAAAAATTAAATCCCTAATTTCTATTGTGTAACCTCTAAATCTCTAATATATAATTTAATCTTCCTATTTTAAAAATATTATTCGGATTTCAGTTTTATATGGTATCAGAGCAAACGATACTTTAACCTTTTTTTTAAAAAAAGATATCGAGCTGTTAACTCAATTTTTTCAAAATTTCTCTATATAATGTTGATAATTTTAGATAAAATTCAAAGAAGTTATTATGATTTTTTAAAATATAAAATTCTATGTTATTTCATTCATCAATACCATATAAATTCTTCGAAACACTTACAAATCATTAAAAAAACCAATATTACTTGAAGTTAGAAAAAGAAAAAAAACGGTACGACTCTCAATACATAAAAATATTACTCACATCTCTCACTCCATACATAAAATAATTACATTACTTCTATTGTCAAAAAAAATATTGTTGCAAATGTTAGGCGAGCTATATTATTTTATTGACATACAAACTTCGAACGAAAGCATCAAAAACCCAACACGACACGTGTCACTCAGATAAGCCTCCATCACCACACCATCTGTAATAGGCCCACCGATGATTCTGTTTAAAAGGCCCATACAACACGGACCACATTTTAAAAAAATTTCTCTGTATATAAATACAGATCTCACAATTTTATTTTATAATTTTGTAGATAAGAACCATCACCACCGAACTAAAACACAATTTTGAAATTCCCGAAGCCAATTCAATGCCTCTTCTCCTCCATACCTCTTCCTCTTCCTTCAACACGAAGGTTATCACCGCCGTTATCGCCGGTGTTTTTACTGTCGCGACGGCGGTGGTTTTCACCGTTCCTTCCATTTCGCATTTCGTTGTTTCTTCCTTTCCGATCATCATCTACGATAACACCGTCTTCCTCTTGAAACCACCGTATCTTTACTTAGTCATCAACTGTATCATCGTCTCCATCGTCGCTACTTCTAAGCTCACTCATCATAAATCATCTTCCTCCGTTGATGATTCTGAGATCTCGGGGCTAGTAGTGACGCCGGTACTTGTACCGGTTCAGTTACCACCTTCTTCTGATATCGATACCGGTTTTTTAAACGTGGTTCATGATGCTTCTGATTATACCGGATTCGTTGAGAAAACCGATCCGCCGGTTGATCAGACGGTTGAAGAGAGTCTGAAGTTTCCAGGAGTCGTTCCTGAAATCCAGAAGACGGAGATGTCGAAACCGAGTAGTGATTCGCCGGAACCGGAGAAGGTAAAACCAAAATACGATTCGCCGGAGATTTCGATTTTGAAGCATAGTACGAGAAAACCGCCGAGAGTCAACCAGCAAAAACCGCTTAAATCTAGTTCAGAAGGTTATAATTTGAATTTCGGGTTAAAGTTTCATCCGGTTAGGGGTATGAATCGTAAATTGAAGGGATGAGCTTTAACCGGTTTAATTTTTTTTTTTGGTCAGGTGGGAGTAAAAAGTCGGCGGCGTTGGGAGTAACAAAGCCACCGAGGAGGCAAGACACGCTGGAGACGACGTGGAAGAAGATAACGGAAGGACGTTCTACGCCGTTAACAAAGCACTTGACTAAATCCGACACGTGGCAAGAAAGAGGTCACGTGCCGGAGAACAAGAAGAAGAAGAAGGAGAAGATGACCAAGTCCGAGAATTTAAATGCCACCGCGGAGGAGAAGCTGCTGCTGAAACGCGAGCCGTCGCCGGGGCAGGAGGAGCTGAATCGGCGCGTGGAAGCGTTTATTAAGAAGTTTAACGAAGAGATGAGATTGCAAAGATTAGAATCTTTGGCTAAATATAACGAAATGGTTAATGGAGGGACTCGTTTGTAATATTTTCGTGTTTTTTAGCTTAGTTGTCGTCGGTGAAGGAGAAAATGACGGCACAGTCGCAAAAGTTGACTTTGACTTCTTTTGGAGAACCACCACACTTTAGAGAGAACAAATTTCAAAAATAATGCAAAATTGTGTTATTTATGATTGTTTATGTTTCTGGGCGTTGAAAATGATATGTGAACAGTAGTGACTACTGAAGTGATCGAAACTATTGTTTTCTTTTAGTATTGTAAAATTACATCTATACACAATACTTTATATATACTTGTTACAACACTTCTTCTGGTAGAAGACTGAGTAATGTAGATGAAAAATACTTACATGACCATAGAAGCAGCAGGGCAAAGCCTATCTAAGAAAGTATACAAACCTCCTCCAAGTAGAAGAGCACCACTGGACCAAATAACATATAGAAAAAAATGGAACCGAGTTTAGTGAATTATAAAACTAGAATCATTTATAGCTGTACAATGCTTTTAACATTACCTTATGGGATTGATCCATGCAGAGACCTTTCGCAAAGAAAGTAAGCTCTGGAGAAGAAATTTCAAGACCAAGAGTAAATACGCAGTTTCATCACATTAACTAGGAAATTTTGCGTTTCAGTATTTTGTGAATAAAGATAACTAACCTGTAAAGCTCCGGCAAAAGAAGCAGCAACGATGAGTGGAGCAACGTAACCTGTTGTATAGGTTAGTAGTAAGCTTCCACCAATGAATGGATCCTGTTTTTTTTTTACAACCATTATATTATCCATATCAGCTTTTTGCTTAACTTGAACCGTTTCTTAACTAGCTCTCTCATATTCATACTTGAGGTAATAACATTTCAAATGGAAGGAGATAAAAACGGAGTTACCCTGGAAGTAGCCACGTAGCCAAGAAGGGTGGCTAGAACTGGAGTACTACAAGGTGAGGCAGCAAGTGCGAATGTGAGACCGGCTAGATATGCTTGTACGCCTAACAGAACATTTTGTTTCTGAAGTTTAAGAAATCGCAGAAAAAAGTATGGGATGGTTTAATATCTAAAAAGCCATGAAAGATTTGTGTCTTAGGAGGTTTACTAGATGGGAAGTTTGCTGCTGCGGCACGAGGATCAAAGTTGTTAAAGAAAGATGGAAGCTGAAGTTCGATTATCTGTAAGAAGAGAGGAACCACATTGTGTTAGACATTGCCATTTCAAAATGATGCAATACGAACAGGATATTGATTGTAACAAAATTACCTCAAGGAGATTGAGACCCATTACAATAGCTAGACCAGATGCAGCTACTGGTAATCCTTGCCCTATTTGTCCATAGGCTTTTCCCGCAAAAGAAGCTACAATCCCAAGAAGTGCTAAGGTAGTAGCTAATCCCAGAGCGAATGCAACTGTATCTCCAATAACCTAAATGCATGGAGAACTGAAGGTCACTAAAATACTACTATAACTGTGAATAAATACGTGTTGCATTTCAGTAGGGGATGAGTCTACTGTTCCTTTAAGGCAGCTTTGATTTGTTTAAAAGAACTCGAATTTTACTTCTTTAACATTTTGTTATACTGCAAAGACAATTTTCAACCAACTCCTAACACGACAGCTTTTATCTAGAAATCTGATCAGAAGAGTCACTAACCTGACCTCTGCTTTTGCCAGACCCAAATGCACCTATATGTCACAGCCATATTAAAGACAGGTGAGGAAAGAATTAGAACATCAAACTAAGACTGTACAATAACTAGTGTGAGAAATGTAAAATCTAGAGACAAGTTATCATACCAATGTAACCAAGTGTCAAAGGCAGAACACTGAGTGTACATGGAGACAAACTTGTCACAAGGCCTGCCCCAAATATTACTGCCAAACTACAACAGGGATACATTAGTAGAATAGCCAGAGAACTCAATGGTCAAAATCTCAGAAATGCGTGCATTGAGAGAAAACTGGAGAAACAAACCTTGTTACACTAAGAGCTGATAGCTGATCTTGAACAGCTTCGTTAGCCTGTTGGTTAGCAGAATACAAGAAGTTTCCGACCGAATCTCCAAGGCTTCCTTCAGCCAAGATGTAAAGGGAAGTGGCTTGATCCTGTCTTAACGGGAAATTAGTTTCTGATTTTACAAGCAAATAGTAAAACTAATGGTCCAAAGTACAAGAATCTCATGGCAGAAAAAGCATATGCGCAAATTTTTTCCAAACAAAATTATTGAGATCTAACCCCTAAACAAGATCCAAGGAGAAGAGTAAAAAAACACTACTTTAGATATTCTCAATAAACTATTCAAATTAAGATGTGGAATCAAATTGAACTAGCCTTTAGTAACGAAAACCAACGAAGATCACAAACAATCTAAAAAGATTACAATGAAGCTCTCAACTTACCAAGACAATCATCTTCAAGTCTGCAGCCTTTGCTGAGCTAAGAGTTACCAAGTTTGCCACTGGAAAACCAATACAAAATATTTTAGGTGTTCATGATCAGATGAATTTAGACTCAGCATCATCAATAGTGCTTTCTACTAAAAAAAATTTCCGGTTCAATGATAAAAGAGTAGGAGATTACACCTTACCTCCTAAACCACTACTAAGCATCGCAATTTTAATACTTGAGCTCTCTTTCCTCAGTAAAGAAACAGGATCAGACCTTAAACTTCTCCCTCTCTCAAGTTCATTATTCTTGGTAGCACGAACCCATCTTTTCTCTGTAGTCCACAGGGAAAAAAAACTCAAATTACAAAGAGAATACGAATTAGACGAATTAGACGAAGGAGAAGGAGATAACATAACATGTGGTAGCTGAAATGACAACAAGACTTGTGTGATTTAACCAAATTCTCTTCACCCATCCGAATTCAAAACACACAAATTCCAACACTAATACAAAAATAACCATGCGAAGAACAACACATCATCTTCAATCAAATTCCCAAATTATAAAAACCCAGATTACCATCACCAACAATCAAATTCCCTTATTTTAAGTTTTGATTGGGAAAAAAAAACTCACTACCACCATGATTGAGTCTACAGCTCGAGAATCCACCGACGAAACCACCGGTGATGCATCGGTTCACACTCAGATTCATGGCTCCCTCCCAGATAAGCCTCCGTCGTCGTTAAACGGTACTCTCTCTCTCTCTCTCGCTTCAG